CCAACAGGATCCTTCTGACAGTTATGGGAGCTGGCAAGGTCGGCAGAGCTATGCCCTCTCCGAAGAGCCCTGGTCTTTGGATCGCGGAGCCCGAGATGTTATGGAAAGCCTGAGCAATGCCTGTTGCAAGTGGGGCTGCAGCAAGCGTGAGATCAGTTCTTTATGTTAGGTAGCGGTTTTCATTTACCACATGTGTTCCTTGGTTAAAAAATAAAATAAAACAAGGAAATATACTATAGAATTTGTGAGCTTGAAGATTTATTAACCAGCATGCGTGCAAATGCAACATGAATTCCTCCATGAAACACCCGTTCCTTTCATCAAGGTAGACCCTGATTGTCAGAGGCCTATGGATCCCACTTACTGTACATGGTCTTTACTTGCTTATAAAGTGCTCTGCAGGTCTCTTATGAAAGCCTTGTTAACACTATTTCCATTAATTGTAAGAACATTAATGAGCCCTGTCCCTTGTCTCCTGTTCCACTCAGCTGAAATTAGTAGAGCTGGGTCAGAGGTGGTATTCAGCAGGTTCTGAGTAGTTCGGAGAACCAGTAGCGGAAATTTTGAGTAGTTTTGAGTAGTTTGGATTCTGACTGGCCCCACCCCATCTATTCTCTGCCTCCCGAGTCCCAGCTGATTGGCTGGGTCTTCTTCTGTTGCCCTGCACAGGAGAACAGAAAGCCCGTTAGTGGGGTGGGGTGGGAATGGAGATTTTACAGTATCCTTCCCTTACCACTCTCACCAAGCCACACCCACCAAGCCACACCACGCCCACCAAGCCATGCCCACAGAACCGGTAGTAAAAATAATTGAATCCCATCACTGAGCTGGATCTACTGGAATGGCTGGGCACCAAGGAAGGTTCGGGGCAAAAGCAGAGAATGTCTGGTGGAAAAGTATAATGCAATAGCTTTCTGGGTGTTGGCAAGAGTCATAAATGTTTTCTCACATTTGATAATTTATAAATGAACTCATGGTGAGATGGGCAGCAAATAAATTTAATAAACAATCCATTTTTTATTATGGTCACAGACCAGCATTAAATTTAATAAATAAATTCTTGGGTTGGTATTCGAGTTGGTTTCACAATGAACAGCTTTCAGGGTGGTGTTGCTTCTATGGTTACAGTATTCATTTGACCTCTTTAAAGAGGAACTAAGCCTGCTGCTCTGAGATCCAAATGACCATAAAGCAAAGCTGAAAAGCAAAAAAAATGAAATGAAACAAAATAATGAGATACACTATGTTGACTCAGAATGGTTTGGTTTAATGGGGACATTCAACACAGATTTGTTTTATTTTGATGACATCAATTATTCTCAAATTATAAACACTACAAGATGTTTGCCTAACATTTCCAAGCAGCTCAACAAGTTTACCAAAATGCAAACAGCCTAAAAATGTTGAGAAGATCTGGAAAGGTTTAGGGAAAAGCCAGTGATATTTCTTAGAGTGGTTGTGTGCAATTTTACCTGGAACAATCTGCCATAATACCAAACTTTTGAGAAAATGTAAATCATATTAATATCATGGTATTTTCTTCTGCAACTGGGCTAAAAAAGGAAGACTGACTGCTGGGGTATACTGAATTGTATTAGCCAGTTTTCCCATTAATCTACATATGTGAGATATGTACAACTCATGCTATTCTTAGCCAGAATTAAGAGAATGGTGGTCTGATAGATCAAAAGGATGCACACATTGTGGGAAGGAAATTGCAATTGCTAGAGAGGGCTTCAATTTCCCCTGTATAATTTTTTTTTGCATTTGTGAAACTCTATTTGGATTCTGCAGATGAAAAAAAAGTATTTATACTGATTTTCAGCAATTGCAAAGCAACAGTAAATGTAAAATACTGCTAGGTATCCTCTATTTGTGTTTTGCATTTGGAAGATATTTATTTTCAGGTGGGAAGGGGAGTAGAACTCCTTAGCATCAGAGTGTGTAAAAGCGCAGGTATCCTCCTTGCCCCCAACACATTTCCATTCCTAATCTTTGCTTTACACCCCAGGCCCCACTGTGTCTTGGTGGTCATGTATTATCTGGGATAGGGATACATGACTGTGCACCTTATTGTGACAACCTGATATTAAATATACACAATAAACTTATACATTTATATTATCTATATCTGCAAGACCTCACATTCTGTACATAGCAATCCCTCCTCCATTTTGCCCCTAACTTTAATATTTAAATTTCACAATCCCCTGCAAAAATCACCTGCCTCCTAGACATAGGCTCACCAAGCCTTTTCAGTTACTTCAGTGTTAGCAGATGGCATAAAATAACAGGATCTATTTTATATAGCAGGCTTCCAAGTGGAAGTACATTCTGTTTTGCTTGGGCTGTTATCTTCTGTGTTTTTTTTTTTAACAGCTCAGGGATTCCTTGGCGGTTTTCTCCCAAAATAATTTAACACAATTTTTTTTTGAGAACAGCAAGGCTTAGATACTGCTTCTAAAGCAAAGGCATATGCTAACCACACAGTCACCCACACTGATTCCCTGGCATACATAATAAGTGCAAGGGCAATATTGGCTATTTAGAGTGTTCACTGTCATAAAATGTAATCATGGCCACAAATCAAGCAGCCAGTTCAAAAACTATCAGACCAATGCCAATCAAATCTTATTACCTTCTTTGATAAAGTAAATTCATGGAAATAATATACTTGGAAATTTAGTAAGGCATTTGGCAAAGTAGTTCACAGCCTGTTTCTTGGTAAGATAGAACCATGTAGGAAAGATAGTATCACTACCAGATGGATTCACAATTGGCTGACCAACCATACTCAGTGTCAATAGTGGGATTCAGTTTTTTTTTACTACCAGTACTATGGGTGTGGCTTCATGGGCATGGCAGGGGCAGGACACTGTAAAATCTTCCCATCAGAGGTGGTATTTGTCAGTTCTCCAAACTACTCAAAATTTCCACTACCGGTTCTCCAGAACTGCTCAGAATCTGCTGAGTACCACCTCTGCTTGGTGTATAGTCTTCAATCTATGTGGAGGGAAGCATGCAGTGAGGAACCTCAAGGTTCTGTCTTCAACATCTTCATAAATGATCTAGATGAGATGGATAGAAGGGGAACTCATCAAATTGGCAGATGACGCCAAGCTGGGGGGAATTGCTAACGTTTAGCAAGGTAGATTCAAGATTTAGAAGAATCTTGACAAACTTGAGCAGGGCCCCATTCAATGCAATTTAGTGGTGAGAAAAGTAAGGTCATGCACTTAGGCAGAAAAAAACCAAACACAGAGTTAGAGAATAGGCCAGGGTTATCAAACTGGTGGGTGAGGGCCAGATGTGTCACATGCATCCAGGGGTCATCAACTTTTTTTCCAAAATAAAGCAATAGATAGAAGTTCATCAGAGGGAGATCCAACCTGGAACCAGGGGTGGGCTGTTACAGGTTCGCCCGGGTTCAGGTGAACTTTTTATTTTTTATTTTTTTAAAAAACAAGTTTTATTGAATTTACAAACAAACAAAACAAAACATCATTAAACATTAAAAACATAAAACCTCTTTCCATTGTAGAGGTAGGGTTCAGGTGAACTTGTAGCTAACGTTATAGCCAGTTTGGTGAACTATCAAATCCCACCCCTGGCTGGCCCCGCTCCACCCACCCCAACCCTCCCAGGAGTTTCCATGTGGCCCATTTTGGATGTGAGGTAAGTGCAGAGCCTGTGTGGAGGCTCGGGGAGGGCACAAAACAGGCCTCCTGGAAGTTCCGGAAGTCCAAAAACAGGTCTATTTCTGGGCTCCAGAGAGCCTCTGGAGCCTGAGGGAGCCCGTTTTCGCCCTCCTGGAGGCTCAAGGAAAGCCTCTGGAGCCTGGGGAGAGTGAAAAATGGACCTCCTGGAAGTTCCGGAAGTCCAAAAACGGGCCTGTTTCCAGCTTCCAGAGGGCCTCCAGAACCCAGGGAGGGCAAAAATGCTCCCCCCAAACAGTGGTACAGGCCGACTAGGTCACACCCACCATAGCCATGCCCACCCAGCAACTGGGTAGAGAACCCATTGCAGAAATTTTTGAAGCCCACCCCTGCCTGGAACTATGAAGAAATTTCCTGACATAATAATGAATCAGTGGCATTCTTGCAACCAAATGGAGAAAAATAAGCAAGGACAGTAACTCATGCATAGATGCAGCAGATACACTTCTATGCAAGATCCTTATTGATACATCCAAATATTGGGAGGAATTGATTTAATTGCAGCTCACTGACATGATATATCCCCCACCCCTATTGGGATATCAAGACTGAATCCAGCCAACACAGGACAGGCCTTTTATTTCTTACATCAGGTCACTATCTCATGACTCCAAAGCGGGAAATTGTGGCAACTGATAAAGGAAGAAGAACAAGGGAATCTGCACCCAGTCACTGGAGAATAACTTTGAGTAGCCTATGACAAAGAAGCGACAGAAGAGTCCCGGCGGGTATTGATAACTAACAGAATAACCGAGTTGGAAGGGACCTTGGAGGTCATCTGGTCCAGCCTCCCGCTCAGACAGGAAACCCCATAGTACCATTTCAGACAAATGGTCATCCAATCTCTCCTTCAAAACTTCCAGTGTTGAAGTACCCAAATCCTTATTTTCTTCGCGTAGCTGTCAGCCGGTTATATTTGCTTAATGACAAAAGCAATACCATTGCCCTTTGCGCACTTGCTGGGACGGGGTGAAGTCGGTGTGCCCTCGAAAGGCCTCGCCTCCAGTGGCTCTAATGATCTGCCCTGCTGTATCCAGCATGATCCCGAGCCTAAAGCCGCAAGGTCGTGCGTGAGTAATCCCGCCGCCTGGGCTGCTTCTCGTTAGCCGCCCAAGTTCCTCCTTTTCGGGCTTTGGAAAGCGCGGCGTGCAGGGCGGAGGCAGGCAGTTTCCTCTTTCGTCTCAACCCCCGGCAATAAACAAGGTCTGCATCAGAAGAGGAAATGGAAATAAGCTGAGAGCGGCGGGCGACCCTCTATGCCTCCCTCCCGTCCGGGCCGAGGGCGGAGCGACGATTGTAGCTTCCCACGCCTCTCTCCGGGAAGGCGTTGAGTCAACTGGCTTTTTCTTTGCGGTGCTGGGTGGGAACCATTCGGGATGGAGACCTCTGGCAGCCGATGGTGGTAAGTGAGCCAAGGGGGGGAAAAGCTCCCTCTCTCTGCGAGGAGAAATTGCTTAGGATTTTCTTCGTGCTCTGAGTGGGAGCGAAGTCCCGGGGTTGTTGTTTTGTTTTCCCCCTCGGATCTTCTTCCCAAGGAATTGGGAACTTTCTTTGGGCGAGTCTTTTCCGATTAAAGTTGGCTTCCGATGAACGGCTTCAAATAAAGCGGAAAGGGACTTTTTGGAGTTGCTAAGCGCGAGCGGGAGCCAGAGTGTAGGCGACTATCTGGTCCCAGACACCTCTATGAATTCCCAGTATTGTCACACACGAAATGGGGTGATGACAAAGTGGCGGGGGGAGTTTCATTGTGGGACCTCTTCTCTTGTATTCGTGTATTGTATAATTTACGCCATGACGTTGATTTTTCTAGCTGGAAGGCATTTATAGATATTAGCAATTAGCACGCAACATTGGAGCCAGATAAACTGAGGGTTATGGTGCTGCCTCAGGATATCCTTAGAAGGCTGCTTCGAATGTATCACACAAGGCAATAGGGAAGGTCGCGCTACTCGATTCCTTCAGAAGAAAGTAAATCCTCGGCTGTCACACCCGCCAATTGCCTGCCTTGCCTGTCTACAGGAGAAATCCTCAGTCAGTTTGATTTGAACTGCTCTGGAAAAGTTCATATCCCGAAAACAGATTGAGTTTGAAAATGTTTTATTTTCTGCTCTGTTACTCACTTCAAGATGAAATAATTTTCTTTTGATGTTACAGAGGCTGAGCATTTCTCCAGGTGCCCCTCCATCATATCACTCATGCACCATGAGAAGCAGATGGGGTCTTGCAGGGTTGCTACTTCTAGCCATCAAGGTCTCGGGGCTGAAAACAGGTAAAGGAGAAATAGAATTGCTTCACTTCAATAGATCTGTTTCCAAGAAACCTCCTGCATGCTCTTGAGGAAAGACAATATGCTTGGCTGTTAACTACAGTTAATGAACATGTGTGCTGAACCATTTTTAACTTTTGTGTGCCTCTTTTTAACTGAGGGTTCGAGCCAAAGCCCATTTCGGATCTCTTTAACTTAGGTACCATGTCTCAGATTTGTTGAAAGTTGTAGATCCAGTTTAAAGGGATCTGAGACAGCTGCCAGTTAGGACTCCAATGGTAAGATAACATGTATTCAGTTACTTGCAATTAGGGATCTTGATGGATTTGTGGCGCTGTATCTTCAGCTCTCTGTCTGCTAAAGAGAGGCAAGCTGGCCAGACATGTTTGCATAACTTCAAGACAACCACAAGGAGGAGGAGGACTGTCAAATGTGTGAACAACTGCACTTAGTGGTAGCTGCTGATACTGTCATCTTCTTGCCCCTTTTGCTCTGTAAAACCCACACAGGAAATCTTTCAAGAGCCCAGAACAGGTCTTCAAAGCAGAAGAAGTGAAGCAGGCAAAACATTTTCAATACATTGACCTTTATCTTGCTTTCTTATTGAGTGATAGCAAAACTATATTGGGGGTTTATGTTTGGAATAGCTGGGAAAGATAACCTGGGGAATAAAGAATTATGTCTTAGGGTTGAAAGTCAGGGAAAGGAAATTTGGTCTGTTGATAATTGGAAAACAGTTGGAGAAGGCATTCATCCCAGACTTCAGTTTGTTCTCAACTTGTTTTGAATGTTCTTCAAATAAACACATTTTTCATTCTCAATAATACCCTGAGAAGGATTGAACAATAAGGGGCAACATTGGTCTCCAGAGGCCTCCCTCCTTCAGACAACTAAAAATTGGTAGCAAAATTTCATAATTTTTCAGAATTTGAAGGTAAATAACAGATTTGCATTACATTTAGTGTTGTACAAACACTAAAAAGGCTTAATGCTATTCTTAAAAAGAGGGAATACAAATTCTGCTCCCATCCTTTGTGATTTGCTGTAGCAATTCCCCTGCTAATAGTAAATATGGCATTAGCCCTGAATATTTATACCTTAATACCTTCCTGTGATGATAGTTTATACGTTTGCATGTAATTAGCTGCTTCTATTGTTTGTTACCATAATCAATCCCATTTGCAGTTCTTGACTGTGTAGTCCCTTCATCTATTTTGAATGACCATAATCATTATTCTAGTACTCAGATGACAATAACACATGAACATTCAATAAGTTTAAAATGGATATTTCTATGTAATAAAACAGATAACAGATAACAGGACTCTCAGCAATTTGGGGGCATTTAGGTATATTGCTCATTGCAAGATCCCATCAGATGCAAATGCAACTCAATTTTGTAGAACATTAAATCCGCATAGATTCATTATCTCTGGATCACTCTGTAGATGTATGCAGCATAGGTCTGTGTACTCTTGCTACAGCAATAGAAACTTATCAACAGGTGAGAGTAGGCCTTAATTCAACCAGATCTTCAGCTTTCTCAGCTGTGTGCACAATTTCTTTCCTGGGGTAGCCCAAAAATGCCAACTTGTTCCAACAGTAGGTCTACTTAGCCAATTATTCTCAAAGGAGAATAGGGAGGCACCTACATTTTTCATTATAGACATGCTGGATTCTTTTTTCTTATGGCTTTGATTCTAAATAATGCTATAAATAAATAGTAAAGTGTTTTTATTTGCTGCTGTTGGAATGTTTCTAGGGAGATTCCTGGAGACAACCTTCCATTTGGCCCTCAGTTGCTAGTGGCTAATTGGTACAGTGACTTCCAGGGCAGGCAGCTGTTGAAGCAGTAGCAGATCAGGATTGAACTCCGCACTGTTTCCAATCTATTGCATCCTCTTCTGGGATCTCTTCTCCCAGGTCTTTTTTATAGCAATATTAGGATTGCAAGATACTCTCCAGGGATTTTTCGACTTGCAGTCCTAACACAAAGATCAGAGTAACGGAAAGTTTGGTTAGGGGGATCCTGAAAAATTAGTTTTGATATCCTAGACCTAGACAGTAACTATATTCACACTATGCAGTATGCTCACCCCAGTTCACTTGAATTAAGGTTTTCCCATAGTGCTAGGCAACATGCTCTCATATTCATATGTTGGATATTAAGTTGTTCAGATTAATATCTGTATTTTGCCAGTCAGTTGCAATGGAAGCAGATCATGTAAACGAACAGCACTGCAGGTTGTCCTTCACTTATACAAAATATATAGTCATGCCCAATTTACTATCTTTTTTTTTGCCACAGTTATGTTAGATCGGTGGATCGGGTCACATAAGAGGCGAGACGCGATAGTGAACAATCAGCTCTTTATTTCAGCTCTGAACAAGGACGGTTTAAGATGTGTGAGCCGCTTGGCTTTATACAGCCGGCCGGCGGCTCGGCGGCCAATGGCAGCGCTTTGAATCTCCCGCGATCGGCTCGGCCAATCGCGGTAGATTCTTAGCGCTCCAATCACAGGCGTTCCTCGAACCAATCGGATTGCGATCTGGGTGGACCAATCAGAATGCGAGTCTTCAAGAATGTTAATACAGAACGCCCCTCCCCTCATGGTTTCGTCCGACGCAGTGTCGTGACGTAGTCGTGCAGGTAGATGGGGCTTCGAACTTGTCTGGTTGACCTGCGTGGCTCAGTCGGTGTGTGGTCATCGGCCGGTTTGGATGGGCTCCGCGTCGCTCTCCACTTCGCTGATGGAACCGCCTGGAAGGGTGAGCCGGGCCTGTCGCCGCAGCTCCCGCCCGGACTACCTGGGTTGGTCGAGTTGCGGTTCCTGTTGCTCTCGCTCGGTCTTTCCGGGCTGGTTGAGCTGGCTTGGCTGTATCTTCCAGGTGAAGATCCCGTCTGTGACAGTTCGAGGTCTGCTGGTGAGTATGGCTGGTTTATTTGAGCTTTTCTGTCTTCTGGTGGGGGGTGTTCGGCTTGCGTTGGGGTGTGTGCCGTTGATTCCGGCCTGCCGTCGTCTACCGGCTTGGATGTTGAGGCTCCCCCTCCCTCTCTGCTTTCCTTGGTTTCCGTTGCCGATGCGTCGGGGGTGTTGGCGGCTAGTCTGGACCGTAGCTGGTCGATGTGCCGCTTCCAGCTCTTCCCGTCTGTTGTTTGGAGTCTGTATGATCGGGGCCCGGTTACCTGTGTTATTTGTGCGGGAACCCAGAGGGGGTCTCCCATGAAGTTCTTTGCGTAGACCGTGTCCCCGATGTTGAATGCCCGGTACCGGCTGGAGGAGTCCGGGGGTTTCTCTGGGTTGTAGGTGGGTGTAGGTGGTCCAGTGGAGACCTCAGTTTCCTTCCCATTAGTAACTCCGCTGGGCTCTTGTTCGTGGTCGTGTTCGGAGTGATGTGCTGTATGAAGAGTAGTTTGTTTATTTTTTCCTGGATGTCGCCGGTTTCGATTTTTTGGATGGCTTTTTTTGTGTATTGGACCATCCGTTCCGCCCTACCGTTCGCCACTGGGTGAGCCGTCGAGGTTAAGGCGTGTCTGATGCCCCGTTCGGCTAGGTATTTTTCAAATGCCAGTGCCGTGAACTGTGGCCCATTGTCCAACACTATGACATCCGGTAACCCGTGTGTTGCAAAGAGTCCGTTTAGCTTGTCGATGACCGCTTCTGTTGTTGTTGCCCTCATAGTGCTTACCTCCAGCCAGTTGGAGTAAGCATCTACGGTGATGAGGAATGTATGCCCCTTGGTTGGCCCGGCGAAGTCTATGTGTATTCGCGACCATGGTCCTCTCGGGGTCTCCCATTCCAGGGTTGGCGCGGCGGGGGGGGTGGCTCTCGACTCTTGGCATCTGCTGCAACCGGCGACCCATGTCTCGATTTGTTTGTCCATCCCTGGCCACCAAGCGTAGCTTCTGGCCAGGGCTTTCATCTTGACGACCCCCGGGTGTCCCTCGTGCAGCATTGCCAACACTCTGTCTTGTAGTGCTTCCGGTATGACTACCCGGTTGCCCCAGAGTATGCACCCCCTTTGCGAGAACAGCTCAGTTTGGCGGTTTTGGAAGGCTCTGAACTGCTCGCCGCCGTCCCTTTCTGGCCACCCTCGCTCTACCCAGCTCAATACCCGCGCCAGCCGTTTGTCTTTATTTGTTTCATGGGCAATGTCTGGCGCGGTTAAGAGTGGGCTGGGTAGGGTCTCGATTTGCAGGGTCGTCGTTGTGGGTGCTGGGTCGTCGTCTAGGTCGGGTAGTGGTGACCGGCTTAGTGCGTCAGCGTGCGGAATGTTCTTGCCGGGTCGGTGTGATACTTCGTATGAGTATGCGGCAAGGAACTCGGACCACCTCGTCATCCGGGGCGACAGGATGTTCAGGGTGGCCTTGTTCCCTGCGAGTATCCCGAGCAGGGGCTTGTGGTCCGTAATGATAGAGAAGTCCCTACCATAAAGGTATTCGTGGAACCTTTTTACTCTGGCGACGATGGCGAGGGCTTCTTTGTCCAGTTGACTGTAATTTCTTTCCGGTTTGGCCAGCGTTCGGGAGAAGAAGGCGATGGGTGCTTCCTTCCCGTCGGGTAGGGTGTGGCTGAGGACTGCTCCGATGCCGAACGGTGATGCGTCGCACGTTACCGTGAGTGGAAGGGTCTCCCTATACTGGATCAGGACTGCATCCGATGTTAGCAGGTTTTTTGTCCGTTGGAACGCAGTCTCCTCCCGCTTCCCCCAGGTCCAGGTGGCCGTTTTATCGAGTAGCCGGTGTAGGGGTTCCGCCACGGTCGCCTTTTGGGGTAGGAAAACATTTTAAAAATTAAGCAGTCCCAAAAATGCCTGTAGTTCCGCCTTGTTTGTTGGTGTGGGGGCCTCTTTGATGGCTCTGAGTTTCTTCCCAGTTGGGTGTATTCCGTGCCGGTCCAGGAGGTACCCCAGGAACTCGACCCTCTCGGTGTGGAGTTGGCATTTGTCTCTTTTAACTTTAAGGCCGGCATCTTTGAATTTGTTAAGCACCGCCCTTAAACGGGTCTCCAATTGTTCTCTGTTGGTGGCTGCGATCAGCACGTCATCGAAGTAGGGAACCACCCCTTTTATCCCCTGGAGGAGTCTTTCCATGAGACTTTGAAAAACTCCTGGAGCGACGCTGACTCCAAACTGGAGTCGGTTGCATCGAAAGGCCCCCCGGTGTGTAACAATCGTTTGCGCTTCGGCTGTCTCCGCATCGACCGGCAATTGCTGATACGCTTGTGCCAAGTCGAGTTTTGCGAAGACCCGGCCTCCCCCCAGTGAGTGCAGAAGGTGCTGTACTACTGGGACTGGGTAGGCGCTTTGCTGTAGCGCGTGATTGAGGGTGGCCTTGTAGTCCCCGCAAATTCTGATGGAGCCATCGGGTTTGATGGGGGTAACTATGGGCGTTTCCCAACGGGCATGGTCGATGGGCTCTAGTACCCCTTGTGCGACGAGCTTGTCTAGCTGCTCGTCGATTTTCGGCTTGAGTGCAAAAGGCACTCGCCGGGGTTTGAGGCGGATTGGTGCGACGTTAGGGTTAAGGTTGAAGGATATAGGGGGCCCTCGGTACTTGCCTAGCGAGTTGTCGAAGACCTCCTGGAATTCCCTTACGAGAGTCGCTTCCCAGTTGGCGTCGTCTGTATGATGGATGCCCGTCACCTCGATGCCCAGCGGGGCGAACCATTGCAGGCCGAGCAAGCTGGGGCGGTCCCGGTCCACGATTGTGAGTGGCAAGATGTCGGTGTGGTTCTTGAACGTGACCTTAAAGTGCCCAATGCCGACCACAGGGATGCGGTTTCCCTGGTAGTCTTTCAGGATTAGCTTCTGGTCGTCTAGTTCGTTGCGGCGGATGGTTGGGACCAGGCGCTTGATTGTGCGCCAAGAGACCATGGAGAGGTAGGACCCGGAGTCCACTTCCATCTCGCAGTGCTGGTCCTCGATGCACAGTGCCACGTGTACCTTCCGGGCGTCCATGGTTGATGAATGGCCGATGACGACCGTCTGGTGGGTCTCCTCGCGCCGCTGTGCCTCGCTGAGTCATCTGCTGCGGCTGTCGCGGCTCCACCGGCTCTCAGTCAGTCCGTCTCGGTGCCTGGGGGGGGTGCCGTCTCGTCGTCATGGGCTGTTTCCTCGTCGCTGCGGGCTGTAGCTCTTTTTGTTTCGGCACACCTTGGCGATGTGCCCCCGCTTCTCACAATGCCTGCAGATGGCGTCGAGAAAACGGCATTCGGAGCGGGGGTGATCGCCGCCACAACCGGCGCAGTGGAAACCCGACTTCCGTCCCCTGCGGTCCCGGCGGTCGCGCTCGGTCTGTAGCCGATGGATTTCCTCATCGTTGTTGTCCTCGGTGTCGGATTGGGGCTCGAGGTCGCCATGATGTGTGGTTGTTTCTCGACGGCTGGATTCCCCGGGCTTCGCGGTGGTGGGGGTCGCTTCGTTGGTCAGTGGCCGTTCAGTCGTGTTGGCTTGCCTCATCTGGGCTGCTGACTGGCGGGTGGCCTCAGCGGCGGTGGCCTCGGCGAGGGCGTCGGCGAGGGAGATGTTGCCTTTGGCCATCAGCCGGCTCTGCAGCACGGGGTCTCGGAGCCCAAGGACGACTCGGTCCCGAAGTGCCTGGTCCAGGTCGGGGAATTCGCAGGGGCCTCCCAGGTTCCGTAGCTGGGCCACGAAGTCGCCGATGGTCTCACCTTCGCGCTGATCTCGTCGGTAGAAGTCGTGCCTACGAATGAGGATGGGCACGGTAGGGGCGTAATGGCGTCGCAAGATGGGCTCGAGGTCAGCCCAGTCCATCTCCTTGACGTCGGCAGGTTTTGCCAGCGCCTTGGCCATTTTGAACACTGCGGGACCGTTTCCTCTGGCCGTTGGCGTCTTTGAGGTTGCTGCATTCCAGAAACATCTGGAAGCGGTCGATGTATGATTCCCAGTCTTCGGTTGCTGGGTCAAATGGAGCGGGCGGCAGGGTGCTGGCCATTGTGCAGGGCGCCGATCACCGTTTGCCACGTGCTAGTTGGTCCTCGCCTCACGATCCCACCTTCGTCGCCAGTGTTAGATCGGTGGATCGGGTCACATAAGAGGCGAGACGCGATAGTGAACAATCAGCTCTTTATTTCAGCTCTGAACAAGGACGGTTTAAGATGTGTGAGCCGCTTGGCTTTATACAGCCGGCCGGCGGCTCGGCGGCCAATGGCAGCGCTTTGAATCTCCCGCGATCGGCTCGGCCAATCGCGGTAGATTCTTAGCGCTCCAATCACAGGCGTTCCTCGAACCAATCGGATTGCGATCTGGGTCGACCAATCAGAATGCGAGTCTTCAAGAATGTTAATACAGAACAGTTAAGTGATTCACACAGCTGCTAAGTGAGTCCAGCTTCTCCCCGTTGACTTGGCTCATCAGAAGCCAACTGGAAAGGTCACAAATAGTGATCATATGACGCTGGGATACTGCAACCATAATAAATACATGATGGATGCCAAGTGCCCAAATTTTGATCATGTCACTATGGGGATGCTGTGACAGTCATGTGATAAATGGTCATTAGCCACTTTTTTCAGTGCTGTAACTTTGAATGGTCACTAAATTAATTTTGGTAAGTCACGTTCTACCTGTAATAATCTTTCTGTGCTGTATATTACCCTGCCATCAGGGCAAATCTAATTCTTGTGTAATCACCATCTGAAGCTTTGGTTCATCTGTTTTTGTAATTTGGGCCTGGCAATTTGTAGTTTGCAAAATTTTAATGAAAAAATAAAATGTGTCACTTCCATACAGCTATAATCCCTTTCTATGAAATCTGTCTTCAACTGCTATAATTTGGAATGCTGATTTGTGATTATTGCTCTGTTTGCAGGTGATCTAGATGCCACTATGGGCCTACGGTGTTTCCAACCATTTCACCACAAGTTTGTGAACTGCAGCTGGCTGACCTGGGAATCTCAAAATGCTAACACCGTCTACGTCCTTCACTATGAAAGCCTAAAGTTGGGCAAACTGCTGCCGTTAGTGAGCCTTTATATTGAGTTATAGTACAAATATCCAAATTAATAAGCCATTGTCTTTTTCAACCAGAACCTTCTATGCTGGCCAGTGTAATCTATGGCTAAATGACTTTATTTGGAAAGTATAGGGAATTGCAGAGCAAAGGAATACCTATTAGGATTTTACAGTTTCATGAATGAAGGTTTTGGTCTAGATGGGCCAATATTGGAGAAATATGGAATATTAAGGAAAAATAATGGAAGATGATTTGTCAGTTGATTTGAGTGGATTGGGAGCTCTGAAGAGAGATTTTTAGAAGGGCACATAGGAACTACCATCATAAACAGCAAACGTCAGAAGTCTTTTCACTAAAGCCAAGATGCAATGGAGAATATAAGAACCTTGAAGGAATATGGAATTTAAATTATCTGTAGATGTTTAGTGCACAGAAAAGAAGGAAGAATCCTTTCTAAATCATGATTGTGCTTTAAAAGCTTGTTTTTAATATTTAGCTGGCTTAGGCTTTTCTTTCTTTAAAAATTAAAAGTTCTATGTAGAATCATTTCTATAATTACTGACACCAGGCAAAATCTGCAATTTTGCAATGAATAAAAGGCAGAGACGGTTGGAAGTCAAGAATAATAATTTAAAAAGGGCTTAGGGGGAACTAGACAAACATTCTAGGGTATCTATTTGGTATTCATTATTATAGTAAAATGCTTCTGTGCCTTTTATTGGCAAGTCTTCAAATATGCCTGCTTGGACAGGATAGCTGAATGGATAAGGAATAGTAAATGTTTAGTTTCCATTTATATAAACTACTGTTAGATATATCCATGTATCCTTATTTTTCTGAAGACAATTTGACCAGGTACACTCCGTGGCAGCCCAAATGGGACAGAATTGGCTGGTTATTGAACGATGGAAACTGACACATGGAGACGAATACAGTGTCTGGATGGAAGTTCGCAGTGCAGATGGGATTGCTGTCTCCAAGAAATTAAACTTCAGCCTGGATGAATTAGGTTAGAGAAACTAATTTAGAGAGCCAGAATCCTCTGAGAATTAATCTGGGCAAACATTTTTTCTTCAAATATGTGCCTTGCTTTTCTTGCCTATTTGTGCAGGCCAAGTTTTGCCCCCCTTTAGCTATTGCCATTCTGAGGAATTTTATGGGGCATTTCAGATAGTAGACAACTGTTTGACTGTGGAAGTTCAAGACTGGGTCCCAACCATAAAGAAGGATTGGATTTACAGTAAGACAGATGCCTTAGTCTCCAGATATCTTGACTACATTCACACATTTTTAACAGCTATGACATGCTTGGCTTGCTTGTGACTTACAGTAATGTGAAAATCCAATAAGTTGTGGCTTATTCAATAAACCATTGATATGATGAGAGAGCCATGCCTCTCTTATGCATTGTGCTAAATCAAGATTTTGGTTTGTTGAATATGCCAAACACATATTACTAATCCACCATCCATTGTTTCACACACTGCTCAATGACAAACAAACCAGCCCTATTTTGGTTTAGTGTAGTGTGTGTGTGTAGATCAATGCTTTTGTCAGTAGGTATGGCAGTCAGGACTAAAACTGAATGATAGGCAAATGATTAAGCTCTTCCCCTCAAGTTTCAGGGACTCCCTGTCTTCCTGAACTGGATCATGTGGAACTGGATTGCTCTGAAGCCACAGTGACATGGAAGAACCCGCAGTGGTCTGAATTTCATAATGATCAATCTCTCACCTATGCTATTCGATACAAGGCATCCACAGACCATGAATGGACCTATGTGAGTCTGTCTTGCATTTGTGACTTGTTTTGTATATATATTGCTTTTCTTTCCCATTGTATCAGTTGTGACTCCCTGTTGAATATCCATTCCATTGAACTACAGCTGGCTTTGTCTAGGATTTCTTCTTCAACCAACTGAAGACAGTTTCCTGGAGGCCAGTCCCAAACTGTTGCTCTAGCTATTATATCTTATATCTTGCTCTAGCTATTATATCTGTCACAATAGTGAATATGATATAGATCTGTATCCAGCATGTTCTCCTATTTTCATGATGTAATATTAGACTTGCTGCAATTCTGGTGGAAATGTAGATGGAGGGTTTTGGAAATTTTTATTTCGACTTGGATCACTTTGAGTGACCTTGCAAAATGGATGGATAGAATGCTATTACAATGACAATGTGAGTATGTTCTACTCCCAACTGCAGGAGAGCCACCTAGACCAAGAGAACCATGAATTGTATGACCTGAAACCATTCACCTGCTATGAGGTGCAGGTACAGTGCATCCCAGGAAATAAAAAAGACTCTTGGAATGAATGGAGTTCTTCCAAATCCTTCTGTACCTGTGAGGCTGGTAGGTACAGCTGTGGATGAAGCAGAAATCCATGCAATCAAAACAGATGCAGTGACACCTCAGCAGAAATCTTGTTGCTGTGTATTTTTTCAAACACTTGTTTTTTGCTTTCACACAATGCATCTTGAGACAAATAAATATACAACTAAAAGATATAATTTTGGGATAAGTGTTATCAAGAATGTTAGCATTCACTGAATGGCTGGAAGGACTCTACTATAGATTTCCAATTTTCTGTTGGGTCTGTTGGGTTGATATTCTTTGCCTATGAACAACCAGGTCTGCATCCTTATACTTATTGGGATTTTTTTTTTCATTTGTAACCAAATTATGCACAGTGTTCCATTTTAAGTTGTTTCTTTCTTGTATTATTTGGGGGAAGACCTAATTGGTTGGCTAATCTTAATAATTACCTGGCTCTTTTCGGCTTCCTTAAGCTCCTTTTGGTCAAGTTGATGTGTGGCAAAAAGGCTGTATCTCTGACCGCCAGAATGAAAGCTGCTTGCTGCTGTGGAAGGTGAGCTGGGATCCTGTTTCTTATCAAGTAGCATTTTTCTCTGTGGGGTTATAGGTCAGGTCGGTTTTTTTAGAGCCAGATGACCCAAAGGGGTGAAAAGACAATAGTTTAAAGAAACCAAATCTCTTCAAGGATGATATCAGTGACTGGACTAAAGCCAAATTTGTGAAGGAAGAGAGATTAAACACCTTTTATCATTTTGGCTAGAGGTACAAGAAAGAATTTGGAAAAGAAAAAAGATTTTAAAGTCTATTTAGATACTTAACGTGTTCTTAAAAACTGAAACTATTCTATATAGGTAGATTATATCTTTGCTGCAAATTTGAAAGTAGTTATTTAGACTTCAATACGTGAAAAGAAGTGCTTCAAATGCTGGTGAGGCATCTATTAACTGTCAGGAGCTGTCAAATAAGAGCAAGATAGATGTGCTTAGGATTCATTCTAATAAAACAGACAGAATGATGATTCAGTAATAAGCTGTGGCAGCTGTGGTTTTCAAAATACACTTTCCATAGACTTGAATCTAATTTAGCCCAAAATGTGCATCCTAGGATGCCAGATTTCATTTGAGAAGTGGAAAACAAAAGTTAGTACTAATAATCCCAAGTTGACTTAAACATTCTGTAAAATATAAGGGCGAGAAATAACAACAATACAATCTTGTCCTGGAACATGTATGATACTTCCATGTTATCAGGCTTGCATTTCATCTGGAGTTGAATGTTTCTCAGATCTATGCTTTCAAATTCCCTGCAGTATAAAACTGGTCAACTTGGTTCTACTTCGAAAATATATTTTTTTTCATTGTAATTGTTCTATATTAACATTCTCTAAATCCTGAGTTCTGATTGGTCCATGCGGACCACAATCTGATTGGCTAACTAAATCACTGTGATTGGTGCGCTAAGGATCCACCGTGATTGGCCGAGCCGAACGCAGGAAATTCAAATCGCTGCCATTGGCCGCCGAGCCACCGGCCGGCTAAATAAAGCCAAGCGGCTCACAGGTCTTGAACCGAACTGTATATTCAATAAAGAGCTGAATGTGCACTTTGAGTCTCGCCTCTCTATGTGACCCGATCTACCCGGGACCGATCTACCGGACTTAACTGTAATGGTCACCATGCCCATCAGCAGCTGCTCTCTTTTCTTCTTCCACTGGCCGTGAATTTTTCAAAAGCCCTTCAAACAGCATGCAGTGATTCTCATCCCCAGTATTTTTCTCCTTTCAGTAAAATTAAGTTACAAATGACTAAAAATTCAATATAAGTAGGCAGTTAGTCAAAGCGTTTATCAACTGGAACATTTTCCTGATTGGCCTGCAAATTGCCCTCATGTGCATAAATTTATTCTCTCATGTCTTCCCCCCAAAGCAGCTACTGGGTGACACTAGCAAAAACCAGGTCTCCTTTATAACTCCTGCCTGGCCAGTTACTTCTGCTTTGTATCCTCCCTTTTTGGGGCAGCTGGACTTCCCTGCGGCCCAAGATTAGCTCCTCACCTGAGAGAGATACAAGTGGTCAAGGTGAGAGAGGACATAGAGAGTACAAAAAAGTTCCCCCCTCCTTTTTTCTTTTTGCTTGCTTGGAGTGAGAAACGTTGAAGCACCTCAGGATGTCTTTCTTGATAAAAAGTCTTTCACTTGACAGCTTCTTGCTTTTGGGAAGAACTGAGGAAGAAGTTCAGTTTGTGCATGTTTTCTTAACATGTCATTTTCTTGTCAAAACGAGTACAGACAGTTATTTGTTAACGTTTAATTTTTGCACTGTTAGGCCTCTTGTCAATGGTACAGACCCTTCTGTTGATCTAGTTTTGACTGGGATTGCTCATGACCAGTTCCTGTGGTGTGCCTGGTTTAGGAGAAGGGCGGCACAAGTGACTACAAATTGGGTTACTTCAGCCTTGTTTCCCTCCCTCCTCCCCTTCCTTCCCCCCTCCCTCTCTCCCTCCTTCGCACCTTTTTCTTCACTCTTTTGAGGAACTCTCCTTCCCTTCTCACAGGCACTGGATCCAGAAGCAGCCCAGGGAACGATCCTTGATTATGAAGTTATTGTCCAGGACCATAGCAAAGCAGTCCATAGAATGAATTACAACTGCTGTCAGGCTTTGATCCCTATCGCTGCACAGTACGTCTCCATAGCAGCCCGCAACTCTGTTAAGAAGGCTCCCTGGGCCAATCTCAGCTTGGAGAAAACAGGTGCGCTCCCATATTACACTAAAGGACTGAAATGGTTCTTTCTTGCCCCACTTCTGGCCTTTCTCAGCTGATTCTTGAAATAAAAAGAGCTGGTGGCTTCCTTTCCCTTCACTCACAAAATATTCATTCCTGTTATCCTTTCTGTACTCCACCGTAAGAAAAGGTCCTGATAGGTTTTGTATCAGGCAGTCAACCATTTTGATTCTCTAAGTTTAGGGGTGAAATTCCCAGCTACATAACATCATCTAGTGTACCTAGGTTAACCTTTAAATACTAAGAAGTCCTGGTTATAATTGGATGAGAAATCAGAAGAAATTTGAGGTGGTGGCAGGACTGGAAATTCTCAAAATGTGATACGGAAATGACTTTCGTATTGCTGCCAAAAAAAACCACACAGATGTGTTAATGAGGTCATCAAAGGTTCAAATTTTCTGAAACCAAGTAGCATTTTTTTTTAGAATTCAGGTGAGTTCCTTAGACAAACTGAACAACTTGAGAAGGACCTGCCAACATGGTGACGTTTGTTCAAGTCAAGCTTGAGGCCTGGTGATGACGTGGAAATCTCTGTTTGGTTTTCTTGACAACTGAGTAGTTGCCATGACCTGCTTCTAAGGTTTGGGGGTTTATTTTCAACTAATAGACTTCTCTTCAGGTACTAACAAGGTCCACCCATGTTTATCTTTCTGAGATTGGCTGTGATCCAAGATTTTCAATTAATGGGATTATTTTACAGGTATCTGTGCAGATGCTAGAGCTCTGGGCAATCTCCTGAATATCTTTCCTTTTCCTAGAACTGCCAGGCCCTGAGGACATTACAGTGGTGGCATCAGAAGGTTTGGGACTCAATGTGACATGGAAGCCCAGCATGGATTCTCAATGGGTTCAGCCTCAGGAATATGTGGTCGAGTGGAGAAAAGAGATCGTTGACAGTGTGGGAGAGTTGCTGAACTGGATTCGCACACCTAGAAGCAGTACCAGTGCCCTATTGAGAGGTGAGATGGACAATCTCACCTGCAGTGATGTTATTTACTATGTAAACAACAGCTTTGGGAATTCCTCAGTAGCTTCAAAACTCTGGAAAATAGGAGGAAATGTAATACATACTCTTTTTTCTCTTTGTGTTTGTTGGTGGCTGCCTCTTCTACTACCACTGACTGAAAATATTATCTCTCTGCAACTTCTATTTTCATTTTTTTTTAAAAAAAAAGCCTCATTTTGTTCCAGTGGAAGCTTCCTTGGAAGCAGCAGCTATGGAGAAGCATCTGAGGGGGTAGGAAAGGGAGAGGCCTATAGCATTAGAGCTCCATCTTCTCCAGGCTACTCGAGTTTTGAGAGAAGCATATCAGATGATTCTTATAGAATGAAAACCATGAAATGATGCTGCTTGAATGCATGAACTTTATCCAGTTTGTCCCTCCATGTCCGCTAAGTAAACTGAGTAGAAGGGAATCAGGACATGGCACCTTCTGGGACACTGGAGTGAATTTCGTCTGATGTTAAAAGGGAGGTGGGTGTCCTCTGGAAAAAGAGGTGCTGAAAGTTTTCCACCACTTCCTGGAGTCCCATGTTCTGTTTTGATTTCCTGAAAAAGCAGGTTAAAGCAGACCCATGCGACTTTTACCTTTCACCGCTTTATGTCTGTCTCCTGCTGGACTGAGTATTGAAAAGAAGTCCTGCTTAGCTGTTAGCCTGCACCAAAGAGAGAAAAGCTGGCTGGCAGTTGCCACTCACTAAGGTTCATGCAGCAAATCAATAAATAACAGAATAACTGTTCTGACCCAAGCCTTGTTCAAGTTAAACAAACACAAACTGTGTATAAAAGCAAACCTTTTTTAATGCGGCGCTGTGCATTCCCAGCCAAGAAACATTTAAACCTAATTGTCCGATATAGAAAGCAAGCCATTTCAAGGTTGCAGAAGGCTGCCAGGAACAGAAGACTAATTACTGATTAAATATCCACCGACAGAAGTTTCAAAAACAAACCAGAATAAGTAGGGCTTCAACGAGGACTCTGAGTCTAAAGAACTTTGTTGCTTCCTGCAAAGAACACATCCCCGAGGGCTGGGTTTTATCCCTTATGGGAGGGGCCATCACCTTCCAGCCTTACTCCCGAGTCACCCTTGCTGCTTCAGCTACTCTTTCCTTCGAGCAGACCTGCGCGCATGCACACTGGGCACAGGCTCCCCGGGGTTCTCTGCATTACTGCTGCCATACTCCACAAGCTCCAAAGGCAGCACTCCGATAGTCCTGGCCCCATCCTTGCATCCCACGCAGGCCCCCCGTCCAAGTCCTTGCTATCAGAGACCTCTGCCGTCCACACCTGCTGCCAGCGAACCACAACAATAACCGAGTTGGAAGGGACCTTGGGAGGTCATCGGGTCCAACCCCCTGCTCAGACATGAAACCCCATACCATTTCAGATAGATGGTCATCCAACCTCTTCTTAAAAACTTCCAGTGTTGAAGTATCCCAAACTTCCAGAGGCAAGTTGTTAAGTTTCCTAAACCTTGTATTTTCCTTCCGCTTTAGGCAACTTCAGTTCAAAGGTACCATACCTTGTGTGTGTGTATGGATTGTATGCTCATGGGACAACTGCCTCAGATGCTGTACGCGCCTATTTCAAAGAAGAAGGTAATCCCCAGGGTGCAAGGGCGGGAGGGTGGTTACTAGTAGAGCCAAAAATTCCCCTTTGATCTTAGAGATTTCAGATGAATTTTCCTCCCTGCATTCTTGTAACTTTCAGTACCACAGCCACCTCTGCCCTGTTGAGGTTGGGTGTTGATTAGCATTGTTCTTTGAGACAGAATTGATGATCTTTGCTACGATAAAAAAAAAAACAGGCTGAAGTATGAAGCGCCACATCTTTAATTTAGTACAGCTAACTCCAGCAGTAAAGGAAATTTGCCCGCAAGAATAAACTTTAAAACTGAATTCAAACGCTCTGCTGATCAAAAAACAAGCTATGGTTTGTTGGGTAAGCCAAAACTGATTGGGTTCATGCTTCTATTTATTGTTAATTACAGTCACTTCTCATTTATGCCTTACCTGAAGTAGCTTACAACAATAGCGTGAAACACAGTGCTACAAATAAAAGTTGCTTAAAAAAAGCCAGTCTTGGTTGAAGTTAATGGCTGTGGCTGCTTAGTATAAAAAGAGAGGACAGGAAACATGCAAGCATGGCCCTTTTATATTCTATAGATCAGGTTGTTCTACCAGATCCGTGCCACCGTCAAATGACAGGAAGCAGCAGTCAGAAAACCACCACCTATTAAGGCTTCTCTTAAAATGACGGCTTTTCTGCAGAGCTGGTAGAAAGTTACTGCTTTTCATTTTTTTCAGCTAAGTAAGTAACAGTTTTAGAACAGATTTATTGAGGTTTCTTCCCTTAGCTTTTTTTGTTTTCCTTTTATCCTTTTTGCCCAAGAGAAAATACCCCCCAAGGTCATTGAAAAGGAGGGGGTAGAGGAGAGGAGGTGTATTAAAAAGTCAAGATGGCAGCTATGTCTATGTGATTGATATACTGCTCCTTTGTATGTGCGTGAGCAATATTGATACAGGTACAAAAGAGATGGACTTCAATTACCTAAGATAGAGAACTTAGGCATTGGGAGACTTAAGGCTAGACGGTTCAGGTAGTCCTCGACTTATAACCAATTGCTTTAGTGACCATTCAAATTTGTGACACCTTTTCATGACCTGATTTCAAAATTCCAACTGCTTCCCCGATTGTAAATTTCCTTTTTCAGCAGTGTCATAACTTCAAATAGCCACTGGACAAATGGTCATTAAGCAAGGACTACCTGTTTTAAAGTGCTTTAGTTGTTGCACAATCATTTAAAGAATTTGGTCTTCATTTCCTCTCAGAGGGCCATCACTTCCAGGGTTTGCCTAGCTTCTGGGAGGGAAGCTGTTCTATGACTACCATATTGGGAAAACGTTATTGTTTTTTTTCATCTGAACTAGGAATTTTGGAAAAGAAGGCTGTATATCCATTATATAAAACTTTACCTATATTGGAAATACTGTAAGACAGGTTCCAGAGACAGATTACATTTAAATGTTTGAATGGTGGCCATTTTCTTCTTGAATACTTCCTTTGAAGTATGATTTTTGAACATTTCTTAGAATAGAAATATTATCTCTGATGTTCAAAAATTGATGGTCTCCTTTGGAACTATTGGCCTATGGAACTTGACTTTTGGTATATATATCTTCTGTAGTGTGGTAAGTAATGCAGTGTATCCTTGTTACAGCATAGAGATGAACTGTAAGCTTTGGCCGCATACCGAACCAGTTCACAGTCTCTGTCTCCTCCTTTGCTTTTCTAGTACCATCAGCTGGTCCCCAAGGACTGCAAGACAGAAGACTTTCATCCACTGCCACTTCCATCTCGTGGGAGGAGATTCCCTTGGCAGACCGCAATGGGCATATCATACACTATACACTTTACCTGAAACATCTCCATTCAGGCAGCCTCAGGGTTCACGCACCCAGTGAGTGAGATTCTAAGTCTAAGTCAGCCTGAGCATAACTGAGGAGGAAGGCATTGGGACCTCCTAAAATTACCTCTCTTAATTACAAGCCTGTACATCAGCTCTCTCCTCCCGTGTCCTCCAGTTGGTTGGATTATTCGCTTCAGTCCCATATTAAATGGAGATAATTCATCACTTCTCGAGGGCATTAGTTTGACACTAGGTGATGTCTACAGCTTTTCTCTGGAAAGATCACTTAGGGAAGATTTGTGGATCCAGAAATTTGTTGTATAACTTTTGGGGAACAAATAGTCATAGTGAGAGATACCATATTTATTTACCCTCTTTATATAACAAAGTCGGGGGTGGGAGTCTGATGTGGCTGTATACGTTCTTCTGGTTTGACTCTTCCTTTGCAGCCTAAAATATCTCTAGGAGCGAAATCCCCTTATATGAGAGAGTATATTATAGAAAGGTATGAGAAGGAGTATTTTTTGGCTCTGGAGCCCACCTTTTGTGTGGAAATCAAACCCAAATTCCCCAAAATTATAAACAGATTTCCAGTTGATACAATCACTACAGGTAGTCCTCAATTTATGACTATCTGTTCAGCAGTCTTTCAAACGAACTGTGGTTATGACTGGTCCTTGGAGTTCCTGCTACCTCAGCAATCTGCGATCACATGATTACAGATTCATACCAGAGGTGGTATTCAGCAGGTTCTCACCAGTTCTGGAGAAGTGGAAATTAGTGGAAATTTTGAGTAGTTTGGAGAACCGGCAAATCCCACCTCTGACTGGAGATTTCACAGTATCCTTCCCCTGCCACGCCCACCGAGCCACGCCCACAGATCTGGTAGTAAAAAAAATTGAATCCCCCCACTGATTCATACTTAGTTGCTGTTGCAGTTGCAGCTTACTGCAATCACAGAATCACTATTTGCAACCTTCCCTAATGGCTTCTCCAGAAAGTCAGTAGGGAACTGGCAGGAAGGTTGCGAGTCATTGGAATAAGTCTCCCCCATCTGCACAGTCTCTCCCAGCCCTTCTGTGCTTGTGCCACACCAGCCACTCCTGCATACCCTCCTCAATCCTTGCAATGCCTGCTGTACACTTTCATTCATCCTTGCACATCCTCCCTGGCTCTTGCCGTGCCTCCCTCACACTCCTGCACATCCTTAGCACACCCTCCCTCGCCCTCAGCAGGCCATTCTCGCATACCTTCATCGTATCTTCCTCCTTCCCTTGTACATTACTTCACATCCCAACTCTTTCTGTTCCCCTCTTGCATTCTGGCACCCCTGAGCCTTGCCGCACTTCCCTTGCACCTTTACACACATCCTTGCACTCTCCTCCACCTAGCAGCAGCTACTTATAATTATTTATATTTCACGCTTTTAAATGGCCCATCTTCCTCCAAGTGAGTTTCTGGGCAGTGTACAATATAACTGATAAATAATACCTACCTGCCTGCCTGCCTGCTGGTAAATCATCCGGGGCGTTTGTAACTTCCTTCTGGCTTCCCCATTGACTTGGTTGTGGGAAGCTTGCAGGGAGTTGCTTCATCTAACCACCATGGGATTCAGTTAACAAGAGCAGCCAGGTCTTCAGGGATTTCCATCCCCAACCAGTGTGGTTGCCATTATGACCACATTACTCAGTGATGGAAATTCCAGTCCCAACTGCCATCCTATGTTGAGGGCTACCTGTACATTTCAGTGTGTGGCAACAGAAGAAAATAATAACAGTCAACACATATTTGTGAGGGTGAAGCATGCAGAGATTTCGTTCTCCTTATGCCACATATTAAATGTGCGTTGTAAGGCATTCTTTTCCAAAAACTGAAGACATCTTTTTGGGAAAGATATATGGGATTCCCTTTACTGCCTGGAAAATGTAAATGCAGTGTATTTTTTTATATATATTGTTTTTTGTTTTACATTGCAGTTAATGCTATGGAAAGAAATTACATCATCTCAGATCTGGAGCCAGGAACAACCTACAAGGTCTGGATGACTGGCTCTACATCAGCTGGAGAAGGTGCAGCTAGTGCAGTGCATCACTTCAGTACATCAGGTAGGAGAGACCACTAGAAGCTTTGTTCCTTAAACCAAACTGGCATATTAACAGGAGGTGAGTATAGGAGCAAGAAAGATTGTGCTAAAACTAGCTGTGAAATCAATCACTTTAGCACAATTTCACTAAAGATTTTGGTACCTTGATACCTTCTGTCTATTAATTATAGGTCCTCAAACTACAGCTACTTGTTTAGTGACTATTCACTAAATAGTAGTTAGTTAGTTGTGAGGGCACTGGATAAACGCTGTGATTGGTCCTTGTTGTTTCCCTGCATCTCTATGATCACATGATTGCAATTTGGATGCTTAGCAACCAGTTCACACTTATGATCAATTGCAGCATCCTGACTGTGATCACATGTTCACTATATGCAACCTTTCTTGCGGCTTCCCCGGAAAGTCGGTGGGGAAGCTGGCAGGAAAGTTTGTAAGTCACTGGATCAAGTCTCCAACCCCCGCCCCCCTTCCAGGCCCTTTTGTCCTTGCATTGTGCCAGCTACTATGTGCTCTAGTACACCTTCCCCAACGTCTACTGCACTCCAGTGCACTCAACCTATACCCCTCCCCCTCCCTAATCATGCCACACCCTCATTTAGCTGATTTCAGCAGAATAAGCGAACAATTCTGGATTCTTTCCATGTTGCAGTCATGTAGGGTCTTTGCTTAATGATGACAATGGAGATTGCTGGGATTGTGTGGCTAAGCGATGGCATCATGCTTTATGACCGCAGCACTTTGTGATAGAGATTCCAGGACCAATAATTATTGTTAATGTGGGCTGCCTGTATCTACATACTTCTGGAATGGATCATATCATTGCAGCTCCAGCATTGCATTAGGTTACAATTCCCATCATTCACAAGAGTGACTGCATACTTTTAATGGATTATCGTCACCACTGAGTCAGATGTTTTAAAGTGTATTCCTTTTTCCATTAAAGTCAAGATTGCTCAGTTCTCCTTGTGTAAAAAATTAAAAGTAGTTCATACTCTTCCGGTATTGGGGTAGCAGGGATTGAGTATGGTGAGTGAATGACAAGATAGAGTTATTTACAATAGACGTTTTAATATTATTCTTGTAGTAGTTTATATTTATTCAGAGGATGTTTTTTAAAGTTGATGTTTTTATCTTGGAACCATGGAACTTTTGAATTTTGGCAAGTAAGCATCCATGAGATGGAATGGAGTTGGCAATGAATACATTTGATACAAAAGTAAATGACAGTGTTGTCCTTAAATCTCTTGCAGCTTTTGGTTGGTGGAGCATTGTTGTGATCATTTTATTTGTGGTAATCCTGTTTATAGCGAGTGCCATTATGCTGTTGAAATACAGAAGGTAAGTGATGAAAGGCAGAGATGCAGGCATACCATCCGTATGGATGGGTAACCCAAGTTCTTTTACTGGTCGCCTAAGTGCTGATTTGAACACTGTCAAAGTGATCTCTAACATCTCTGTTCTGTAGGCTAAAGGGCCTCTGCCATAAGGTCCTACCTCGGTGGTGTTACGAGAAAATTCCAGATCCAAAACACAGTGGGATTGCTGCGGAGATGAACGAAGAGAGCACTACACCAGCCACGGTAAGAAGCAATTGGATTTAAAAATAACTGCAGGAGTTAAGTGCCTTTGCAGGGGGTATTGTCTTCTCCTGAGGTCTTGGAGGTTCATCTGCTTCTCTTTCTAGAGATGGTCCTAATAAGAACTAAAACTAAAACTTTAAACTAAAGGTTGCAGATGGAGGTTGTTTAAGTAGTAATTGGATGGACATAGTCCAGACAGACTACATTTGACCAAGGCATTACTTTATGTACGTTTTAAAATTGTATTCCATTTATCTTCTGGGTGGGTCACTATGGATGGCTGGTCAAAGCAGAATATCATGCCTGTACACTGTGCTAAAGATATGTGGTTTTCTTCTCTTCCCCACCTCTTTATTTGCCATATTTCTGCGCTTCAATGCTGACTCATACCTGTACTCCAAAAATGTGCTCACAACTGAATCGGCAAATGTATTCGCAAAATTGGAAACATTTCTTAATTATGTAAGAGCATCAATCTCTAACCTCAGCCCTTTCAGATTTGCATCAGATTATAATTCCCATCATTCAGAAGTGTGACAAAATTTGGGAGTGTTGCGAATTGTAGTTCAGCTCAACCAAATTGAGGAAAGATGTTGCAAAGAAAAGGATAAAGATTTTCCTTTCCCATAGATAAGAAAAAGGATAGATCCATAGCTTGGAGCAGGGGTGGGGGGAGAGGTGGCTTATCCTAGCAGAAATGGTGGGAAAACATGTTCCCTTCATCCAGTATTTCTGCCATTTATGGAGAACTCTTAAAAGGGTGGCCCCAAAAGCTGGCTGGTTTGAAAACTATGCCAAATTTGGTGAAGTTAAGGAGCTTGGCAACCTGAAAGATGGGAGTCAGATATTGAAGGTTAGAGGCTATGTTTTGATATCCTGAATGGACTTTGCTGTTCCCTTACACTTGCTGAGTTTGAGTTAGGGCTCTCTATGACTTTGCTACATTTCCTCCCCACAGGAGACCCTGATCAAGCATTCTAGCTTGTTTCCAGAAATTATGGACATTGCTGAGATATCAGAAGAAATCCCTGAGCCATCTCCACCACCACGAGCAGGATCAAATACCATGGTGATTTCTGGCTATGAAAAACGATTTCTTCCCACACAAGAGGAAATCCTAAATTGGGCTGAGCAGGAAGGAAACACTTCTCCATGTTTTGGGCTAAGAGAAAGGGAGACCTGATCTTTGGGGATAGTATACTCAGCTGCTACTTTGGATCCAACTGCAGATGCAATTTCTCTTGGAAGGACCATTCCTTGGGCTCTTAAAGCTCCTACTGTGCCTTTGTGTGGGAGGAGATCCCTCAGGAGACCATCCGCCACCTCATCAGGAGCATGCCCAGGCATTGTAGGGAGGTCATGCAGGCACATGGAGGCCACACACACTACTGAGTCTCATTTTGACTTGTTTTAAGGACATTACATCAAAGCTGGATCAGCCTGTAGTGTTTTTTCCACTTTAATTTTGAGTGTAACTCCAAATCCAGACCTCCATGGGTTGCTAAATTTGATTTCCATTGATAATTTTTGTGTGATTTTGTTGTCAGAACATTCAACTATGTAATGAACTAAGTATTTAATAAGAATATTTCATTCATTCAGATCTAGGATGTCTTATTCTGTGTTCCCTTTATTTTTTTGAGCAGTGTACATGCCAAATGCTACGAACCAGATATGGCATGGAAAATATGTTGGACTGCTGCAAGACTGCTATATCAAAAGTAAAAATGATGCTGCTTTCCTGCAGGCCTGACAAAGAGCATAAACGAAGGTGACACAAAACCAATCCCTGCCTAGCCTTAGCCACGGCATTGGTAAAGTAACTGCTGTCATATTAAAGCACGTGGCTTTGGGCTTTGGGGAAAAAGCAGAGTTTGGTAGCCTTACTAAAGGTAGATCAAGCTGGGAAGAGAAGCTTCTGGGCTCACTTTTCTCAGTAGGATTTAGTAAAATCAAATGGCACTTTGTCTCATTTGTGAAGAGCCCCTCACAGATCTTGGGTGAACATTAAAATGACGTGTGCTTGTTTCTCAAAGCTTTTTAAACCCACTGTATTATTGGGCACTGAATGAAGGCTTGGCTTGATCAATTTCACATCTCTTGCCAAGTTAAGTCTGCATGGTCTGAGTCTCAGGAGGATCTTTCAACTCTTCTTCCAAGACATCTGGAACTCTTCTTCCAAGACTTCTTCTAAGACATCTACTTTTGGGAGCCCTGGTTGGCTAGAAATCTGACAAATCCGTTTCCTCCCTCCCTGCCGAAGTAGGATCAAGTACAGCTTTGTCACACATTGTACACTATGAAACATCCAACCTCACCTTCTGTCCTTTGGAGCTTCCAAAACCCGTATTGGCTGCATAGCACAACTATCATACTTCTGAAACATAGAAAGAAGTTGGAAGTTGCCTTAAATTTCCACAGGAAAGCACTCTGGTGAGAAAATAAAAGTATCTGTTGCTGAAATAGAAGACTGGGTGGGAAAGCCAACAGAAGCGTCCTTTTGGATGATTTCATCCATGGTTATATAAATTTCGCAGGACCTTGAGGAGGATGTCACGAAAAATAGGGGGCAGGAATACCCTACAGGCAAAAAGGCCAACAGTGATATTGGATGGGTGGAAAAATAATCAGACAGCAAAAGATGGTCCTATGTGCAGACAAGAATGGGCAGATCTAATGATGGGGCTCAGAATCAAGCTTGCTTTCCTGTGGTTTTTCTCTTGTATCAGTCCTTGGTCAGTTTGAAAGGGAAGGTATGTGTTTCTGTGTCTATAAATATACGTTGTAATCTTAGCCCTGTGAATTTTGTATGTATTATATTTGCCCCCAAACTGAGCACTCTTTCTGTTTTTACTCAGATGCCACTTCTGTCCTTAAACTGACACAAGGCAATGGGCAGGGTTTGTTTTTTTTTTTGCACCCACAGCTCAAACTTCCCTTAAATAAGATAAATAAATAAATAAGAGCAGGAGGTTGGACTAAAAGACCTCCAAGGTCCCTTCCAACTCTGTTATTCTGAAATAAAACCTTAATAATTTGTTTGATGTCATTGCAAACTTTGTGCCATCAGAAATCAGCAGTTTGAGTGACCTGTTTGTTGGAGCACATGGATGGCTGATTCCCTGCCATACAAACAAACACCATCTACTTGGCTTCTCCTCAACTGGAAGGATTTCGTTCTCAAGACATTGATATCAAGTACTTTATCTGTTCTATACACATATATATTACTGTCACAATGCAGTGGACCAAAGTATTCAGAGTGAGGGAAAGAGCTGCTTATCACCACCATTCCAGGTCCAAACCTCAGCTTTGCCAAGAACACACTTGGTATATTTATATTATGCATCTCAGATGACTTTTGTTGCTATCTCTTCTCCCCATGAGATATTTGGAATTGGAGCCCTGGAAGAAACTTCACCCCAGCAGTGCTTACTTGTGCCCCCTCCTTATATTACTTCAGCAGCCACCATCACTAGAAGGAAAAGGCTACAGATCTTAAGCAAGGGGTCTGTCCTTCCAGCCTCTGCTTTCCCTTCTCCATTCCTCTAACTTGATGGAGCACTGACCTACTTAACTGTATTGTTAAGTATGACTGAGATTGCATGGGATGTACTTTCAGCACTTTGAAAGCCATACATAAATATAATGCATTATTATTTATTATTCATGATAAGCCCTTGTTGGAAAAGGAGGGATCGTAAAGCGGCTCTTAACTGGTACCTCTTTCCCAGGACTGGAAAACTTCAGAAAAAGAGACAGGATCGCCAACTCTTCATCCTTCGTCTACCCCCAGGTCACCTTTGGGTCTTTGATAATTGGCACAAAGTGGATCATCAGGCAGTTTTACAGGCCTGCCCCCATTTCCAAGCCCAGGAGGCAAATGCTCATGTCCCTACCCCAAGCAGAGTCACAGGTATTGCTTGTCATTGCATCTGACTTTAATTGAGAATCAGTATTAGCCAGAAACTGACATTTAAAAGGCTCTTACTGGCTTAGGTGGTGGCCCTAACAGAAGTTATATAACTAAAATTAAAACAAAGTGCACGGAATAAACAGTCACCGAAAGGAGGACATGAAGGGTTGAGGGAAGAGCCTGTGACCTAGCAGGACACAAACCCAGGCTTGTTATAGGAAGGGAAGAATCAGAGCTAGGAAAGATTTCTCAGTCCGTTTTGGGAGGCAGAACATTGAGTCTACCACACACGAGATCTTAACTGGAGACCACATTTAGGAGAGAAGGTTCCAACAGTGCCTTGTTCAAAGTCCCTGCAATGCACCGCCTAATGGCAGGAAGTCCTCTTGTGTCCTATTTGTCACTGCCCTGCAAGATTAGTTGTGTTCAGCTGGCCATCTTAGCCGAGGTGCAGGAGGTGGGAACAGGAGGAAGAGGGTATTGCTCAGTGTCTGGAATGGGTCCAGATTGACTTGGTGGGTCATGCCAACTCACCAGACGGGGTTCAGGCACAGGCGGAGAGTGTGGGTGGCAGGAGTTCTGCGTGCATATTGTAGCCTTTGTGTCCAGCCCTGTGAAAAGGTGGTGGAAGCCTGTAGGTTTGTAATGGCACATAACTCGGGTGTTTTCCAAGATAGGAAAATGCCTTGCAAGCCAAAGGAAGAAAAGATGGAAATGCCACTATCTCAGTTTGCATGTTGTTAACCTTTGTGCAAACACATGTGCATTCTGAATGTGTAATGTACATGCACGCACAACAAGGATGACATGCAGGCACATAAACTATAAGTGGAGGGAATGGTGATACAGTATTTGACAGCGCCAAGAGAAATGCAGGTGTACACTGCTAGTGTAGGGAGAAGTGTGCATGCTGCAGGAGAATGTGTGGGCCGATACAATCTGCCCAAGCAGGGCATCCCTCATTTTCTGCCTCCAGGAAAACTGGGAGGAGAGCTATGAGAAATCAATAAAAGAGAAACAATCCTGTCATTGAACATTCTCTCTTTTGTGATGCAGCAAGCCTTCCATGGACCCATCTATGCAACTTGCTTTCAAATCCCTCCATGGAGTGTGTACTGTATGCATGTGTGTGCATGCGCATGCGTGAATGTGTGAGATGCTTACACTACATGATTAGCAGGGCATGTTACCACTTTCAGAGCCTGCTGCTAGGACCAGATCAATGACACCTGTTCTCCTCAACTGAGTGAAAGACGCCGAGCTTACATGACCAAGCAGCACTGGCATGTCTTCTGCTTACGTCTGTTCTGCCCCTGCTCTTGGTCCTCCTCCTGGTGTGACGCTGCAGGTTGGAGGTGGCATGAGGCGGGATTGCCATCAGTGGTGATGTAAATTGGGGCCTCCTGGATTGAGGCACCCTGGTGCTTTTGGATCCCACTCTTGGACTGCTGCTGATCTCCTAGGGAAATGTCCTGGGTGGTTACTGTGGTTTTCAGCTCATTCAACAAGGGTTGTTGCTCAGCAGCAATGTTTTCTTGGATCTCAGTGGTCTCGGCTTCTGAAGCCAAATTAGCATCTCTATCTTCTTTCAGTTCCTGATTCTCTGAATTTACAGCTGCATCCAGAAGGGGTTGAGCAGAGTCTTGATTGACAGTCGACAAAGCATCAAGAACAGTTGTCTCTTGTAGTATTGGACCCTGGTCTTTGTTAGGGGTTGGAGATTGAGCCACAAGAAATGGAGATGTCTTTCCTGGAAGAGTCTCTTCTGTTTCTTTAAGGGAAGAGGTTTGGTCCTGCAGAGAGACTGACATGTGCTCCACTACTGTTGGCTGAGCTTGCTCTTGAAGTGATCCTTCTGGAAGACAGGAAGAGGTCTGATTTTGAAGTGGTGAATGATCAATTAGAGATCCTGTCACTTCCTTGCCATCCAGAAATGGGAGTTTCTGGTCCTGGAGGGCAAGGGGATTTTGGTCTGGCCCAGTTGTTGGTGTCTCCTTCTTTTCATTCTCAGTTAATGGGATCTGTCCTGAAGAAAATTTATCACCCTCAGAAAGAAGCAGTGTTTGAGTTTCTGTAACAGTTGGCATTTGGACTTGCAAAGCTACTGGAACTTCTTCCAAGGAAGAATTATTGGCTTCTTCAAGGGGCATGGTTTGATCAGACAGAGGAGAGAGTTGATTAGTAACAGAAGGGGCTATATCCAGAAGGGAACCTTTCATCTCCAACGCAGACTGTTCTTGGCCCAGAACAGTTGGCAAGATGTGGGGTGATCTCTGTCCTTCATGTAACGAGGAAGGAATCTTTTCTGGCAGAGATGGGAGCTGGTCTGGAGAGTTGGGCAGTATTTGATCTACTACTGAATCACTACATTCTTGAAGAGCTGTTGAGATCTGGTCTAGATTTTTTTCAGTAGTTTCAGATATGGACGATGGCGTCTGGTTCGATAAGAAGCCTTTAGCTTCTTGAGCAGTAGTATCATCTTGTAATGAGAATGCTTTCTGTTCTGGAGAAGAAAAATGGTCTTGCAAAGATGATGGATTTGATGCTATCAAGGATTCTGGCAATGAAGATGGGGTTTGACCTAGAAGAGAATCCTTATTTTCTTGCAGTGAAACAGACTGGTCCAAAAGGAGTGATGGGCTCTGATTTGGTAATAATGACTGTTCCGACTCCACGAATAGAATTTCAGTTTCCTGAAAAGATAATGGATTCTGTTCTGGAAGGGATACTTTAGTATCTGACAGAGAAGGAATTTGATCTGATGAAGATGAAGTCATTACTGGATCTAGCTTAGCTTCTTCCAAAGGATTTGTAATTGTTCCTTGACCAAGAATGACATGGTTTGAAACAGATTGTTTGGTCTCTTCCTCCTCTTCTGCTGCTTCCAGCTTTATTGGGTCTGATCCGTGGCATTCTTGCATCTCTTCCCTCTGTGTATGATTTGCCTGGTTCCCTGCTGCTTCTTCTGTAGCAACATCACAGATTGCCAGGTTTCTGGCAGGCTCTGCCTCGTCTGCATTTTGTTCTGGTAGTTCTTTCTGCCCCATTTCCATCAGAACTGACTCCTTGACCAACAAGCCTATCTCCTGCTCACTATCTCCCTGCTTCCTGGGGGAATCAAAGCAGTTAGCATTATCCTGCAGAAGGTTTGAAGGATTTTGTTGATCATGAGAAGTTGGAGAGGCTCCATCTGGGCCATCACGGCTACCAAGATCACAGTCCAGGTGGTTTTCGGTAGCACAACCAGTCTTCTTTTGATCCACCACATTGCAAAGACTACCTGAAGTATTCCATTCTTCACAGTCATTTCCTATGTTATCATGGTCTCCCAACTCATCTTCCTTTCTAATGAAATTCTGTGTCTGCCCAACAACATCCATGCTTCCCACTTCCTGCCCCAAATGATCTCTGATGACCATCTTTTCCACTGCCAGCTTTCTTTGGTAAGCAGTAGGGGCTTCATTAGGATCCAAATTCTTCGTAGTAGGAGCAGCCTCGATTTTCCCTTGATGAGGCTGAAAATCCCCACCTTCTAAAGTCACAGGGTTTACTTTGACTTCTGTTTTTTCAGAGCTGCATTCATTGCCAGAAATACCTTTGGAGAACAAAAGGAAATGTCACATATTCTGATCCCGATCTATATTCTCTTTTTAAATATATCCAGTAATATAAAAGCCAACCTTCCCCAATTTGGTGCCCTCCATATGCATGGGAACTGCAAGTTTTAGAATTCTTAGAGTTGATTTATGTTTACTGATCACTTCTGATTTTGGCAGATATAGTACAGATAATGGTTTGCTTTATTATGGCTTTCTTGACCTCCACCTGCCTCCAAAACCTGGGTCTTATAAGTTATGAGAGTGATAGCTTCTTGACAACCGTATACCTCTCAGTCTGACGTGGAGATCTCATATTCAGCTGGTCTACCTCTGTGATGATGCCCAATCCTCTTTGTCCCTAGTTTGGACATGGCAGTTTATTTCATTTTTTGACAAAGTGGACCACAAATTAGTGGACCAGCAAAATGTGGTAGACATAGTATATTTAGATTTCCACAACCTTTTGACAAAGTGGACCACAACCTATTTCTTGGTAAGCTAAAAAAATCTGAGATAGACATCACCACCAGATAGATTTGTAACTAGCTGACAAACCACACTGAATGCGTAGTCTTTAATGGAAATACATCTGCTTGGAGAGAAGTAAGCAATGGGATAGCCCAAGGCTCTGTTTTAGGCCTCCTTTGTACAAGGTGGAGCTTTACAAGGGTTGCTCATGACACTAACATTTCTTTCAACTAAGACCAGGCTCTCTCAAGACCAAGCTGAAAATCCACAGAGTTCTGTAAATCTGTGTGGATTTACCATGAGGATATAAAATGATCTTGCAGCATCAGGGAGGCTAGAATACTGTATAACCCAACTATTGACATTTAAACTATGATATGGCTTATCTTCCTATCTTGATTTATATCTGGGCAGTTGTGCCCTTTCTATTTATTTCAGTGCAACTTGCACCAGAGATCTTCCCTAAGGGATTGTGCATTGATGGAAGGGGACAATGCAATTTAGAATTTCTACTTCAGCCACCCCACTGCATAGCAGATGAAGCAACCTTCAACTTTAGCCCCTTAATCCCTATTTCCAAATTCATGGCACAGTCTGCTGCATTTGCTTAGATCTATCTCCCCATTTTTGTCTGATCCCTATTTCTCTTACATACGGCTCCAACTCTGCAAGTAACCTCCTGGGTAGGGATCTGTCTGCTAGCCAAGAAGCTCCATTAAGTACAAATGCACTGATGACAACTGAAGAAAGTCCACAATAATTTTATCTTTCCAGCTCCACTTTTATGTGATGTTTTTTCACATTTAAAAGTTTCAGATAACCTTTCCCACACAAGATGTCCCTTCCACCAAACAATGCTTACAGCTTCCATATTGTAGAAGGTACAGTGCCCATCTATAATGACACCACTCCCACCCACCCTCCGTTTTGCAATGCTGAGGGAGACAGGCTGAAAGCTTCATTTTAAAAGCTCTCTAAAAGCACCCTCTGGGAAAATGACACTGTTCCTTAGTCCTCTGGGCAAGTGGGAAGAGAAAGGGGAGAGAAAGGAGGAGTGGGCAGGAATAACAGGGAGAGGAAAATAGCACAAAACCAGAAACACTTTTGGCTAGATTTTGCCCAGCCTACATGTCATCCTTGAAGAGTATCCCACAGGGCAAGCAGAACGTAACATATATCACAGTAGCGCTTAGATTTATATACCGCTTCACAGCGCTTCCTTTACAGCCCTCTCTAAGCACTTTACAAAGTCAGCATGTTGCCCCCAACAATCTGGGTCATTTTACTGACCTCGGAAGGATGGAAGGCTGAGTCAACCTCAAGCCTGTTAGACTCAAACTACTGAACTGTAGGCAGCCAGCAGGCAGCAGAATTAGCTTGCAGTACTGCATTTTAACCCATTGCACCACCATGTCTCTCTCCCCCCCACTCTCCATTTCCTATTTATACCATTTACACTAATACAAAACCCTGTAGAACAATCTCCATGGATAGTTACTGTGGTACTGGGTCAAAAGGCACATTTGGGAAAGGCAAGATTTCTTCTGTCTTTAGGAAAAAAGAACCCCACTTGTACTGTTTAATAAGGACATTTAAACTATCTCCATTATCCACTATAGGGGCTATTAAAGTTGTTTGCAGTACAAAATAGTACTTGTCTGCCTATGGAAAGCCTGATCTCCAATCAGCAGCCAATCAGAGATAAGATCTTCCTTACAGAAATTGGGGCTGGGCTGGGGTGGAAAGATCAAGGCTTTGGCAGAAGTGGGAGGCCTTATGAGGGAGGAGCTCAAACAAAAGGGAAAGCATCCTGTTTCGAACTTGCGTGGATACAACATGAAAGAAATATTGAAACAAAGTAAGAATCTTAGAAAGTGAAAGCAGAACCAGAAAAAAGAAAAAAGCAAGGAAAGACTGGCTGTGGGATTGATTGATGTTTTTGGTATAGACCCTGGGCTGGAATAACTGAGAACTTTAGAAAACTGAAAGAAGAAAGAAAAAGTGTTTTTTTTTGTGTGTGGACTTTAACGATCATAAAATATAAGAGTGTGTAATGATGATATCTCTTCGGGAATTAAAAATGGAACTTAAAAATATGAGAGAATTACTACAGGAAAGAGGTGAATCACTTTGCTCTGTGTTAGAAAAAATGGAAATGGCGATTGAAGAACAAGAAGAAAGAATTTCAGAGGAGGAGGAGTCGATTCAAGGGGAAGACATTTTAAATAGACAACACAAAGAACATTACAAAGAAGTGGGGAAAGAAGGAAGGTTAAAAAGTTGAGATTTAAGAAGGCAATCAAAAGGGGGAATACCTGTGAAGTCGGGAAAGGCAGAAAGACCCAGCAGAAAAGGGGAAAGGAAGATATTAAGAAAGAGAGGGATATAAACTGGAATGAGAAAAGATATGGGGAAAAGAGGGGGAGGAGAAGCAGTAAGAAACAGGTGCATGAAATAAAGAAATACGGAAATAGTAAAATGTTGAAAAGAAATTGGTTTTTTTAGAGATAATGGTTGATGAATTAAAAGGGGGATTCTGCGGGGTGACAAGGGGTAATAAGAATATTTCTGCAATTAAAAATATTTAGAAAATAGGATAATATAGATACTGATAACTCTTATTTAAAATCAAGGGGGGGAAATATGCTGCGGAATCCAAATGAAAAGATGTAATGATTATTATTGTAACTTTTTAAAAATAATGGTTTATTTGGAATCAAGATGAGGGAATAAAGGTATATTCTAAACATTGAGGTGTCGCACTCAAAACAGTAAAAGTGGGGGAAACCTATACTTGGTTGTTGTTGTTTTTTAGTGTTAAAATTTGTATTAATCTAGAATTTATAAAAAGAATGTGTAATGGAAAGGGAATATGACAGACTAAAGAACCAACTAAATTAATAAGTTAATATAGATTATTAAAAGCAAGGAGAGACATTGGTAACTTTTATTATTATTGTTAGTTATTGTTACTGTTGTTGTTGTTGTTATGCAAACACATATTGTTTATCTTTATTTTTAAAATAAATATTAAAGGATTATATTTGAAATAATTGAAATTAAACAAAAAGATGTTTCGATTGAGATTAATGAAAGAGGTTAGAATTACTGGGTTTGTTTCTCTCCTTACTGAAAATCTGGAATGGAAAAGGTAATAATAGAATTAAGTATGCATATATGAATGTATAATTGCTGTCATATTTGTATGTAAAGGTGATGACCCGGAAATATGTTGTCCACTAAAAAGAGATTTTTGTTTTTAATGTGAAAAACTGACTAAAATTTGTTAAAAAAAAAAAAGATCATGTGACTCTCATGTGGCCTGCAAGCCAGAAGTTTCCCATGCAGCAGATTTTACAAACAGTAGAGGATAAAGCCTCATTTCATGAAATTGGCCTTACCATAATTTTGCCTGAACCTACAGTGCTTCCAATACACACTGGATCCTTCCCAAGTATTAGCATTTTAGTGGTCAATAATAGCAAAAAAGCCTATGTTTCAAATGAGAGGTCCTGAGAACCACGGGATTTCATTTGTCATGAACTCTCAACAAAATAAAGTGATTTTAACCCAGATTATTCTTTTAAAACCAGAATGAATCTTCAAAAGTCCTGACTCCAAAAAGGACCAATCTGCTTACAGCAGAAATCAAGATATTTTTGTGATGCCAAATTTTCTACCACCCTATTTCAAAGTTCATGTTTGTGAGAAATCATGTGACGCCTGCAAACTTGCTCAGCAGTTCTGCCAATTGTCCTTTGGACTGTGGATTTTCCTTTTTATCGCTATCCAAGGATCTGGCTTGATCCCTTACCTAATGGCAGACCTTGCCAATGGCTAATACCCACCATCTCCTGACATATCTCCATTCTCCAGTTGTTCTTTGGCTGCTGCCTCCATGGGCTTTTGAGGAGAAGCAGAAGCCAACTCAAGTTTGGTCTCAGTAGTAGTTCCCTCTGTAAAGAAAGCATTACTTTCAGTTAGCTTAACCAGGTCCCTTTGCAGAGGAAGAATGCTGGAGCCAAAATATGTTTTTTTGTAGCTCATAATGTAAAACCTGGTGATAAAGCAATCTGGTACCCTTGCTAAGATTGACAGTTCAAAGTCAAACAAAACTAAGTAGTCTTACAAACTCGGATTTAACAAGATTTACTGAGATGAAAGTTGTAAGAATTTCAGTAACTGAACGATTTCCAATTTAGAACCAATTTACCCTCAGTGTAGAGCAGTGTAGTTATGGATAACTTATGGATAACTTTGGAAATAATAGTTTGCCCTTTAGTTAATTCATCATTTTAATATTTTAGCTGGGTGAAAGAGGTTAAAAACTTGAAATTTAGGCCAGAGACCACAACATTTTGAGGTCAGGTGAGATATAACACTACCATTTGCTTGGGCAAGGCACTTTTTATACTAATCCATAAGTACGAGCAGAGGACTAGGTCTGCAACTACTAGACAATTCAAGTGTGACTCACTTAGATAAATGCAGCCCAAATCCTATGAAATTACCATTAGTTATCTCTTCTATTAATTGGTCTGTAAATAGTCTTATTTATTTTAATGCAATTACATAAAAGAATTTCCAGGCTGGTTGTGCCCGTTGTGACAAAGTACTCCAGACAGCCTGCATCTTACCAAATAGAAAATTACTCACTTTCTGGAGAAGAGGAAGACATCCCATCAATCTGAAAACAAAAGACTTTTTTTTAATAAGGTGATAATCAAGGAGATTTTGTATAAATAAGCTAAATGCACTTTATCTATATTTAACTTGATCATTCTCGGAGGAAACATTGTCACCACGACGAATAGGAATACAATCATTTTCCTTTTCAAGGTTAAACTTGTGTCGGGAGGGGTATGAATGACGGGTATTTGCCAGATTGCATCAGAAGCCTTTGGCCGGAGGTTTTGTGTTTACCTGGATACCATTTGTGCAACGTCCACAGCAGTTTGGTAACTCTTTAAAACAACAGGCTCATTACTTGAGTTAACAGGTTGTATCTCAGGTTCATCTCTCATGCTACTCTGAAGTACCCAATCTAAAGCCTCACATACCAAATGTGGTCACTAAAAGCTGAAAATCACACCCCAGACACTACTAAAACTGTTTATTGCATGGTTTTTTTTAACATAACAGAGGGTGAAATTATATCAATTATATTTGAAGCTTAATTGAAATTAAATCAAAAATAGTTTTTGCTTTTTAAAATATAGCTCCTGGCACAGTACTTAAAATTCAATCTGGAACTGCCCTCAGTCTGGAAATGATTGTGCAAATACATATGGTTTAATTTTGTCTTAGCATATTGTAGTTGTAACATAATGTAGTTTATATTCACACAAAACAGTAAGTTGGAATTCTGCATAATCTTGCTTTTTTATTCATGAAAAATGCGATAGAGCATTTTCTTCAAATGCTCCAGCTGAGGCCTATTTCCATTAGAAAAACTTCACCATCAGCATGCTGCTCCCAAAGACAAAAAAAACCATAGACCAATTTCAAAGCTTGACCTATCTGTCTGAATATTTTTCCTGGTGAATGCCTTGCTACTGATCTGATACCATTTTTGGAATGGCAGAAGAATGAAAAGGGAGGCCTCTGGAGCTGAACAGTGCAATCAAAAGTTTCAAATAAGATTTTTAAAAGGGGTGGGGGTGAGACCAGAGGTGGTATTCAGCAGGTTCTGACCGGTTCTGGAGAACCGGTAGTAGAAATTTTGAGTAGTTTGGAGAATCGGAAAATCCCACCTCTGAATGGCTCCATCCCTATCTATTCTCTGCCTCCTGAGTCCCAGCTGATTGGCTGGGTCTTCTTTTGTTGCCCTGCACAGGAGAACGGATCTGGAAAGCAGGTTAATGAGGTGGGGGTGGGGAATAGAGATTTTACAGTGTCCTTCTCCTGCCATGCCCATCAAGCCACACCCACAGAACCAGTAGTACAAAAATTTGAATCCCACCATTGAATGAGACCTGAATTAAAGCTGGACTTGAAATTGATTTCATTCACTGTAGGCTTGAGCATAATAATAGTGAAATGAGATATATTCAGGGGTGGGATGTTACCGGTTCTGCCCAGCTCTATAGAACCGGCAGCTCTGAAGAGCAGCAGACACTGAACCGGTTCTGTGTTTGCTGCTGTTTAGCCCACCCCCCACCCCGGGCTCTTACCTGTCCTTTATTTCCTGCTTTTTCAACCTCAGCTGCTTTGCGCGGCACAGCTGTGGTTGAAAAAACAGGGAAAAAGAGGCTTTTCAAACGCTGCGCACCTGCGTGCAGCGCTTTTCAGCTGTCTGTGCAGCACAGCTGATGTTTTCTTTATATGCGTGCGCAGCGTGCAAAACGTAATCACCGAACCTGTAGTAACACTGATTGAATCCCACCCCTGGATAATTTTATCTAATAATATAGAAAGCTAAACATGGTCTTAGTACTTGGAAGGGGAAAATCAGTAAAATGCAAGACTGTAGGATCGACTGAGAACCTACATAAAAAAAACAGCACAAGAAAGATATGGCAAATGACTTTGGCATCTCTCTTAAGACAATTGCACAGATGTGTTCATATTAGTCACCGGGAGTTGGATAAATTTTTATCCCTTTTTATAGGTTTTTTTTAAAAAATTGTGTCTGTGTGTGTGTGTATACACACACACACACACGCACGCAATACACACACACACAGACACTGTTTTAACTTTATGTATTTTATATTCTCTTTCACTTTTAAAATTATTGCTTTTTATTTCACCTTTCCTATGCTGTTCTATGACCATAATAAAGATTTTCAGAGTGGGAGTTGGACACAGCTTTATTTTATTTTATTTTTTTGCTGCAAAGACTTCTAATGTGAATTAAAACTTTCTACTGGACAACAGTCTCTGGAAGGTCATGATCACATTTGTAAACCTTGAGGCTGCAAAGAAAGGCTCTTAATCTGCTTATAGCTATAGTGACACAAGCCATAACTGTATGATTAGATATTTACAATGTTCTACACATTGACCGGCACTAGCTGCTGTTCTCATGTTGCAACTATCTTCTAGGCTACTTGATTTAGAAGGTCATAAATTAAGATTTGGATGGCATGGTTATGAGAAGGTTAAAGTAAATGTTGATTTTTAACAATCACTTTGTTAGATATGCCATTGTAAGAGTTTGGAATAAATATAAAATAAGGTTTTCTTTGAGGATACCTCTCTGGGTGTCTCCCCAGAAAGCTTTTTTAAGGAAAGAAATGGTGGCAAAGCCAGACTGGTAGACTTATGGTAAAATAATAACTTTTAATTTTTGTGATCCTATCCTCAAGTCTAAGAAAGAGCTAGAATCAGAAGGACATGTCTGCCACTGGTTTACAACTGAAATATTTAAATTAGACAAAGAGAACTGTGGGTTTGATTTGGTTCTGTTAACAATGAATTGGAAATCCTATCTTGTGGTAGTGATGAACATATTATTGCCAAGATCTACAAAATGTTATTGAATTTGAATTTGGGAAGTGAGTTTGTAAAGCATTGTATGATTCAGTGGCCAAAGAAGTTTGGATACAATGTAAAGCTTGAACAATGGGAGAATATGTGGATGAAAGGTTTAAAATTTACATTAAATTACAATTAAAAAAAACATTTTATAAAATGATGTATCATTGGTATTTAACACCAGATAAGTTATCAAGAATGTATAAAGGTATTTCGAATGAATGTTGGAAATGCAAATGTCAAAAAGGGACTTTTTATCATTTATGGTTGAAATGTGATAAAGCAAAGAAATATTGGAGTAGGAGTCATATTGTAATACAGAAGATTCTCAAAGTGAATATAAAGATAAAAGCAGAAACTTTTCTCTTGGGTTTAATAGAAAAAGACTTGGAAAAACTTTTGGAATTTTAGTGTGTGTCTGTGTGTTGACAGTAGCAAAAATGGAAGGACACTTTAATCCCTACAATGGGATTAAATAGCTACAAAAGCTTATGCATGGCTAAATTAACTGCTTTGATAAAAGAAAAAAAAACACAAATACTTTTGTTTCTACTTGGAAACCGCATCTGGACTTTGTGCTTGAGGTGGAAAAAGATTAAACTTTTATTTTGGGTTTTACTGATTAGATAGATCTGTTGTTATAGAAATGACTAATATACTATATATTACTATATTAAAGTTAAAAGCTCAGATTCAATGTTACCAGTGGTGGGATTCAAATTTTTTTACTACCGGTTCTGTGGGTGTGGCTTGGTGAGTGTGGCATGGCTTGGTGGGCATGGCAGGGGAAGGATACTGCAAAATCTCCATTCCCTGCCCATTCCTAGGGGAAGGTTACGGCAAAATCCCATCCCCTCCCCACCCCACTAACCTGCTTTCCAGCTCCATTCTCCTGTGCAGGGCAACCAAAGAAGACCCAGCCAATCAGCTGGGACTCGGGAGGCAGAGAATAGATGGGGGCGGGGCCAATTCAGAGGTAGTATTCCGAACTACTCCAAATTTCCACTACCGGTTCTCTGAACTACTCCAAATTTCTGCTACCGGTTCTCCAGAACTGGTCAGAACCTGCTGAATACCACCTCTGAATGTTACTTCTTATTCTATTATACAAAAGGGAGTTAGACGTCAATGCCTTTTCTTTCTTTTTCCCTTCTTCTCTACACTTTTCCCTCCCCTCCCCTATCTTTCTATTATTTGCTTTTGTATTTTTGTAGTTTATGTTATAAACTAATAAAAAGGCTTGATGATACCAAGAGGTTTATACAAAAAGAAAGACACAGAGATGGGAGAGAGAGACACACAGAGAGAATGGCGTTCTGAAGATAGCAATATACTTCCAGAGCATCTTTAAGGACCACTAAATGCCATCCAGAACAAGGTTTCATTAGTCAGCTGTTTAATCTGACTTGCCTTTTTATTTTATTTATTAAAATGTATTGCATCTTTCACCATGGATGTTTTACTCTGTTTCTCTTTTGTTATACGCTGCTGTGAAGCTACAAGATTTGGCAGCATACAAATTAATAATAAGTACCTTCACAATGCCATCCAATGGCTTCACCTCCTTCAGAGACTGCTGCTGCTGTCCTTGGGGAAGGTCCATATTATCTAGGTCCTGCATTTGAGACTGAAGACTTCAGAGAGAGAAAGAATGGGATATTAGAAAAAGTACAGACCATAGGGGAATGCAAGAGAAGTATTCCCTTAAAGCACATTGGTACTGAGGTCCAGGTTCTGCATCAAAGACGGAGAACCTGGGATCCTCTAGATTGGGGTTTACCAACCGTGGCAACTTTAAGACGTGTGAACTTCAATCCCAGAATTTTCCAGCCAGCATATACATATACGCTCACGGAACTCTGGGAGCTGTGTACATCTCAATTTTGCCAAGGTTGAGAAAACTGTTCTGGATACGTACTGCTACATACCCAGCATTCCCAGGCTGCAAGACCATTGGGAAGTGAATTCAACAGCATCTAAACAGCAAGCATTTCTCCACTCCTGTTAGCAAAGAGAAGACTCTTTTAGCAGGGAACTGATGGACTGGGGCACCATCATACATGCTTTGAGATCTTCTAGAGCAGATTACTATAAATCAGTGATGGCTAACCTTTTTGTCGTGTGCCGAAAGTGTGTGCACACACATTCCTGCACCCATAATGCAATGCATGCACGACCCCCCCCCCATGTTCCCCCCAACCCCCTGCACGTGCACACGCATCTCCCGCATGTGTCCTACCCCCACGCATGCGTGGCAGATACCCGAAAAACAGCTGACTGGTGGGAGGCGTGCGCACATGCGCAGTGGAACTGAGCTGGGGTGACGGCTCGCATGCCTGCAGAGATGGCTCTGCATGCCACTTCCGGCATGCGTGCTATAGATTCACCATCACGGCTATAAGTGTTCAACTCAATGCCTGTTTCTTATGTGTTCCTAAAATATATTTGAGCCAAATTAGAATGGGTATTTTAAGCTGGTTTCTGAACAAAAGTCAACAGTAAGCTTGACATAGTGAGAAAGCCCAAAGGGTCCATTTCTTATAATTTGCACTTTCTCCACAAAATGAAAGAAAGATTTGATCTGCAAACCTCACCTACATGATTTTTTAAGAGAGAGAGGAGATTCTAGTTGTAGAATAAAACAACCTGGAGAACCTGTGGCCCTTTAGATGTTACTAAACTCAGAATCCCCAGATCTAGAAGGCCAGACATTCTCCACTATTTAGAATTTTGAAGATTTAAACCAGCATCCTCAATTCTTTTGTAGTACTAAACAAGCTGGCTTTTGACATAAACATCTGCAAGCTGCTGAGACAGCTACCGAGGGGATGTAATTTATTACTTCAATATAGATGACTATTCAATTAATTATTATTTATTGATTTGTTATTTTTATTTTATATTCTTATTCTATTTGTAATCTCCACTGGAAAGCTCCTTGGCTACGTAGAGGGGCAAAGATGTTAAAATAAATGTGTCTCATTAGTCAAATAGATTTCAGATCCCATTCCCTTTGAGAAACAATTCACCCAGCTGTCCTTTATACTGTGAGTTGAACACTACTTACTTTCTTGGGCAATTGTTGAGTAGCTGTTTAAAGTGTGTGCATGTGAGAGAGCTGTGCTACATTTACAATCGGATTTATGTATGTTCCTTTATGGCTTCCCACCCATCTCTCAAAAGGTAGGATTTATATGATTCCAGCACCTTTGTGGCTCAGCCATGCAGTTTTCTTGGCAATAACCCAGAAGTGGATTTCGTCCAAGATGTTTTTCCAACTTCCTAATCCAGTCTAGTCTAATCTAGTCTGGTCCACTTTGGCATTACCTGATGGTGTCCCATCCAAATATAACAAGAATCGATGCTGCTTAGCTTTTTCAGGTCAGCCATGGATGCTTGGTGGTTATCTTTGCATTGTCTCAGGAGGGTTGCTGACTCATTTGACTATTTTCATCCTCCCTCTCTCCAGTTCCCTCAGGCCAGATAGTGGTTTTAAGTTTCTTGTGTGTTGTTACCTCCCACTCCATACACACTTTTAGTTCAGTTTTGTTTTTAGCCTCTTCCGGAAAGAATGCTCATAGAGGCAGGAGGGAGACACCAAAGCCCAGCTAAGCAGCACTTCCTGATGTCCCTGGAGGACATATCTTCTATGTCATCATCAGTCTCTATTTGCAGCTCTACCCAGAATCACAAATGGCTGTAAATGTGGGTCTTTATTTATTAACCAAACACCAGAAGAAAAGTCGCTGCCCAGGGTGGCTTACACTTAAAAACGTGATTCAGAGAAACAAACAAACAAAAAAAGCAGTGGGGAGGGGAATGAATTGGAAACAAGTTCGGGCGATTAATGAAGTCAGGAGAATACATTAAGCTCCATTCAGTTATTTATGCTTCATGAAGAAAAGTATCTCAAATTCAAAACTGGGCAGAACATTTATAACAGAGAAAAGTGTGCAAGTTTTTGGCTTCTTTACAGCTCTTTTTTCAGGCCGGCAGGTACCAAAAGTATAAGTTAAGGAAAACAGCAAGTGCAGAGTTCTGGAGAAATCAAAGCGTGCATATTTCTGAGACGCTTCTCCTGAGCTCCCAAAGGGGGACATGCATGCATTTGGCTAGTCTATGATTCTGACACTGGGGATTGTGGGAAATTCTTCACAAACTGGGGAGGAAATTCATGAAACAAGACGGGTGGTGGGAGGCTGGAGTGTTCTAGATGGCAAGCATTGAGGATACTGGAAAACTAACGGGAGCTTGTTTGTTGAGGGGGCAGGAGACTCTGAGTCAGCTGTGGAAGAAAAGCCACAGACAGGATGATCTAAGCAGCAACTGAGGCTGGCTTCTCCCCAGCTGCTACATCCCAAAGGTGTTGCAGATGGAGGAAATCCTCTTAAAGCAGCAAATGATGATCTTTGAATGCTGCGTTACACTTCTGTTGAAACAAACACTCTGCTTTACGAAATGACGGCTTCTTTGGCTGGTTGAAATGACAAGAAGTACAACCCTTTCCAGTTACTCTATTCCCCAAGCTCTACATCCACCATCACTTAGGACACACCCACCTGGACAGATCTTGTTCTAAGTCTTGGACGCGAGACTCTGCCTTCCAAAGAGAAGACATGTGATCCTTGTCATCAGCAGGCATTGATGTTCCCTCCATCAACCACCGTTCACGCAGGGATTTCCTCTTAGAACAGAGACAGAGGTTGCATTTAGGGTCTGCTTCATGCTGGACATGCACGTGGGCCATCAGGATGCATCAAGACAAATGAGTTCCAGTCTGAAGCCCATGCATATGCACACATACATGTATCTACTCCTATGCTTGTTCAGCCACACCCATATATATGGTCCTATACAAATGACATTTCATGTGAAGCTCTATGGCTTGACAGCAGATGTTGGACACACCCACCAGTGCAGATACTCAGCTCCATAATGCACACGTTCTTTCCCTTCCCCCGCCCCCCTCTCCCCACCAACCACACACATACAAGCTTATTCTGGGGAGAAACTGGAGCTAGTTCTTTGAGGAGAGATAAGATATAAAACTAACAAATAAACTGGCTCAAGGCAAAGCATCAGAAGACTGCCGAACAAAAATGAATGCGGTGCAAACCCAACCAGCCTTCTGGAAGTCCCTACATATATCTAGCCCCAAAGAGTCGGTGTTACCCACAGCAGAGCGCATCTCAGCCTCTTCCTTCCCCCTCAGATCGGCTGTCGCTTACCAAGTATTTTCTCTCCGCCTTCAACGCCCCCCCCCCTCCCGCCGCCCATCTTTTGGCTTCTGATCCTCGCCCAGCCATCTCCACCTCTCGGTGGTCCATCCATTCCTGTTTCCTTTTCGTGGGTGGTACCTTGAGGCGTTGGACTCGCAGTCTCTCTTCCTCCAGTTCCCGCCGGGTGGCTAGGATGCGCTCTTGCAGCCTCCGCCGCTCCTGCAGCAAAGCAAAAAAGACGGGGGTGGGTGGGCGGAGGAGGGGAGGCGGAGAGTGGCGAGGCGAGGCGAGGCAGGAGCCGCCCTGCAAAAGGGCGGACAAAGGGCCCGCCGCGGAGGGAGGCAGGGCGGGACCGAGCCCACGTGGGCGACCGGCAGACCCGGCTGCTGGTTTGCCTGACCGATCCCGCCGCCGTGGATTAATCCCAGCGGAATCAGCCTCACTTAAAACGAGACTTTCCCCGTTTATCTCCCCGGCGCCTCTTCTCCTCCTGCACTTGACTGCCGTCCCGCCTGCCGCGCTTGGTCGATTCCTTCTGCGTCCCCCCGGCTGGTTTGGGGACTCCCGGTCTCTCCACAGGCCTCCCAATCCGCCCAGCCTCCCGATTCCACGCACCCTGAATAACTCCGAAACGGTTGCCCGGTGAAAGCACCAAGGGGCGCGGGAGAGACTGCCGCACCCCCTCGCCCTACCAGCGGCAACTTTGATTTCGTTTTCTCAGAAACCCCAAGCGCCTTGGGAACAGAGAGAGAGGATGGAAAGCTGAAGAAGGCAGCTTTGACGCCAACAGATGTATTAGCATAGATTTCTTATGAAGGATCTTTTGGGTGTCTTCCTCTATTTTTTTTTCTATGCACTTAAGAAATTAGTAATGAGTTCACAATTTAACTAAATGCATATTTTGATTTACAATATTAATAGTAAAACAGTACCAAGTTTTAAGTATTGGCAGAAAACAATGTATCAGAAATAAAAATATTTAAAATTTTCAGAATAAAAATTTAAAACGACAAAGTAATATTGCACATTAAGTACTGTATCTTCATACAGCTACTGGATGATCAGCCTTTCCAGGTAACCGGAATTTTAAAAAAAACTTAAATAGGAATGAGGGAAGGCTATTTCGGGGCTAGTGTGCAGCTAGCCAGAAATCCCTCTCCTGCTGTGCCACCTAAGGCAATATTTGCACCACACATAAGGCCGGACAGTCAAATTAAAAGTGAACATCTTTCATATCCATATTCGATTCATATTCGATACATATTCCATACATGGCTTTAACCAAAAACATAGATTACTATGTTTTCAGACTCTGGAGCAACCACTATTTAGAAATAATAGAAACCAGACTTCATAAGCAAGGCTCAAGGAACAATTCAAATTTTAGTTTCTGTTAACACAAAATCGTGTGTGTTTCAGGCTCAGATGATAGATGAAGGCTATGAATAAGAGTCAGGCATTCTATGTGACCTCCATTAACAATTAGAAACTTCAATATGAACTACTGTACTTGTAGCTTCTAAATATTCCTCCTATACGTCTGAATCTGAGGTGGAAATTCAGCAGGCTCTGACCAGTTGTGGAGAATCGGTTGTGGAAATTTTGAGTAGTTTGGAATACTACCTCTGACTGGCCCCACCCCCATTTCTTCTCTGCCTCCCAAGTCCCAGCTGATTGGCTGGGTCTTCTTTTGTTGCCCTGCACAGGAGAACGGAGCTGAAAAGCAGGTTAGTAGAGTGGGGAGGAAATGGAGATTTTGTAGTATCCTTCCCCTGCCACGCTCAACAAGCCATGCCACACCCACCAAGTCACACCACGCCCATCAAGCCATGCCACACCCACCAAGTCACACTACATCCACCAAGCCACACCCACAGAACTGGTAGTAAAAAAAAATTAAATCCCACCACTGGTCTGAATATATAAGTTTTATTTTTTCAGACAATGCCAACAAGCTAATAATATTTTTGAAACTTTCTGGCACTTGAATTGCTCCATTAAGATCTATATTTTTGAAATCTGTTAAAGCTTCCTTTTATTCAAACTGATCAGACTCCCTGGTGATTTATTCCATTCATATGAACAAGGAAGCAAAAGCCGACAGGTACAATTCCTGGAGTTTGGTTTTCATTGTTGGAAAAATGATTCTATAACAGGAAGCAAAGAGTCGGAGGTGGGATGGTTAAGAAAGAGGAGATGGTATTTCCCTGCAAGTTACGATCAATGATGGGTGATGTTCACGAGTCTGTCTGGAACATCTAACTCTTGGGGATGGTGCTCATTCGTTTCACTGGCAATGACTTTCTAGGAAAGGAAGGATCCTCCCCCTTTTGCTACCAGAGATCAGTTACCTAATGTCATAGATTTAATGTGGAACTACAGGTATACAGAAATTCCCACTTTGGATAAGAAGGGAAATAAAACTCCTGCCTGCCACATTGGATTTGGAGAGCAGAAAACAGACAGATCTGATACCTAATAAACAACCCAACAGGGCTTCTCAAAATGGCACCAGGTCACTGAGAAAAGATTCTTTAAATAAGAACTTGATCAGGAGGAGACCTCTCTATGATCCCTCATCACATATGCAGGAAGGAGGTGGCATGGTTTAGTTTGCCTTGGGCTGCGTTATTTTGGGTTGTTAACTTGCTAACAGGTGAAATTGAATTCTTATCTGCCTTGGGGTTGGATAATCCCCTGCCACTTGACTGTTTCCCAGTATGATTTGATTGTTCCCTATGACTATCATTAAGTGTTGTACGTGATGATCCTTGATTCTTAATGAGTGTACCTTTTCTTTATGTACACTGAGTATTTACACCAAGACAAATTCCTTGTGTGTCCAATTACACTTGGCCAATAAAGTATTCTATTCTATTCTATTCTATTCTATTCTATTCTGTTCTGTTCTGTTCTGTTCTGTTCTGTTCTGTTCTGTTCTGTTCTGTTCTATATGAAAATAAAGACTGGTATTGACTTTAGTTTAATTGGTGCCAGTGAGTACCAAGAAATGATTTCTATTTGGGCATGGACCTTCTGGTGGCTCTGCTTCCTTTGTCAAAAGAGTACTTGCTGCTTACAAAGTCTGTGAGTGTACCAGACACCTTGCTGCAGACATATGGCCACTGATGTGTCTGTTACTGATTACATACGCTACGCTCCCGTTTCTGTGCTCCTGTGTGATATGTCACAGGCTGCTTCACAGCTTCTTTTCCCCTGCTGCACTCTGCTCTGTCCAGATCTGGAAAATCTGTCCAGATTTGATCCCTGCACAGAAGCATTAGCTAAAACAATTCATATAACAATAAATATTTGCTACACTCTCTGGAATGCAGCATTCATGTCATGCTCATTATCAGGATGTGTGTGTGTGTGAGAGAGAGAGAGAGAGAGAGAGTAAGAGAGAGAGAGAGAGAGACACTCCACACAATTGTAGCTGGGCTGCAGCTCAGGAAACAACCCCAACCCAATCTCTGCCTCTCCAAGTCTGGGCAAGGCTCCAAAGTTCTCTCTCCTTCTGTTTGGTTCAGGTTGAAGCTATTGTCTGCTGAATTATTCATTTGTTTGAAGAGAGGATAAGCCAAAGAAAGAGACTCAGGTTACCCCAGGTTTCCCATGGAGCAGGGCAAATAGCCCATATTTAGCACAAACCCAAAGCCCCTGGGCATAAAGTCAAAGACTGTAAGTGGAGAACAACTGGCACCCAGGTCCCTTCTACTTGGGACTTTCCTGTCATTTATTTTAGCCATTCCTTGGACAAATCAGTAAGAATCTGGCAACTTTTCCCAGCAAAAATAAGATCGAATGAAATCTGGAGAGCAGCCGTTATTCTCAAGAGGGGATATCCCTTCTGCCTCTCCCCATGGAGGGAGAATCTCAGAAAATTCATCCCCAGCAAGGCAACTTTTTAATGAATGGAAGGAATTATATGGTTGTTCCGATTTCTTCAGCTTTGTAAACAGCCACCGGCACAGTGAGAATTGAGAATTGTAGTTAATGCATTATTTCAGTAACCTTTAAATTAATCCAGCTACACTGCTATTATTGTCCTTTTAATCTGAGACAGAAATTAGGACCACAAATGGTCCTATAGTTTGCTTAATCATAGTTTTCTGATCAATCTGGAATTTGATGAATTCACAAAATATATTAAGCTGCAATACATTTTACAAAACACAGCTGTGTGATCTATTAATGTCCATTTTGCCTCACTGCACTGTCCACCCCTAAAAAAAACCCCATTAAAATGGTTCTTAACCTCAGAGTTCCCTACTAGGCCATTTTGATGGTGGTGGGGGAATCCAGTTTCCTTTCTCTTGCTTCTAATGAAATATCTTCATTCTGCTTTCTGTTGTCCAAAAGGATCCTTCTTTGTTATTTTATCTGTGTTAAATTCGAAACTGTAGGCTCCCCTTTGCAAATGCTGTTTGTACTCAGGAAAGCACCATGTCACATTAATAAAAAAGAAGCATTAATAGCAATATTATTGTAATATTGCTCCTCCCTTTTATACTTTCCCACATTTTAGTGAACTAGGGAAAAATTAGGGAGGATGTGTTGGGTTTTTTTGTTTTGTTCTACATGTTCTTAGAGCATTACCACTACATCTTGTGGCATTGCTTTGCATGCATGGCCAGAAAACAAAAGGGAATAAATGCTGGCCCTGTGTCTCCAACAGTGATATTAAAGGACATAGGCATTACCCTATTATTAAAGAATACAGCAAAATTCGGGAGGAGGGAGAGGGAACACCTGCAGTACCATAAATCTAGAAAAAGCCTGGTTGAAAAAGCAGTACTGTAAGTGACTAGTTCATGCAGATTTTGGGGGGTTACTTTTCCATGGTACATGGAATACAAGAATTGGTGATATTCTTTCAGCTTGGCTTCCTTCCCCTCCCACTGAATATCACAGCCAATGGGAAAACATCCACCAATTGCTCACCTTAATGTGGGATGGAGCGAGGAAGATGTGAGTTTTAACAGAAAGTTTATCCATTTGTCAAAATATGTTCTGTTTTTTTTTTTAAATATACAGTATAAATGCATTCACAAGAAGGGCAACTATTAGCTGGATGTGGGTTTAGCATTCTTCTAGAATAACTTTGTTTTAGGATAGCACTCAAAGGAGACAGGCTATTCTAGCAAAAGACTAAATAAATTATATCATCTGACATTTGGCTCCTTTTGAACATAGGATTAATATGATTCCACCAGTAGCCCAAACAAGAACCATCCGGAACGGGGAGATTTGTGCAATGATGTACCAGAGAAAAAGTTGTCCCTCTCCTCCCCTAATGTGCAGTCCTGCCCCCTACTCAGTTGCTGCTCAGGCTAATCCAGATTTCCAGGTTGCAGACTGACTTGAAGAACCTGGTATGAAAGAACCAAACTACAGGTAGTCCTCAATTATGAGAATAATTGAGCCTAAAATTTCTGTAGCTGTGAGACATTTATTAAGTGAGTTTTACCCCCCACCCCATGTTACTACTTTTGCGGCCACATTTGTTAAATGAACCCCAGTAGCTTTTAGGTGAGTAACATGGTTGCTAAGTGAATCTGGCTTCCCCCATTGACTTTGTTTGTCAGAATGGCACTAAAGGTGATCATATGACCCCAAGACACTGCAACCGTCATAAATATGAGTCAGCTGCCAAGCAGCCATAAGGATGCTGCAATGGTCAGAACTGTGAAAAATGGCCATAAGTTACTTTTTTCAGTGCCTTTCTAACTTTGAATGGTCACTAAACGAACTGGTGTTAAATCAAGGACTATCTGTATTCTGTTGCCCAATGCATAAAGGACCTAGAAGATGTGGAGAAACAGGGACCACCCCAAACCAGGTTCAACTGATCAAGGGAGTTAGAAGTTATCTGACTGGCACATAGTGGATGAAGAAGGCTAGATACCCCTGATAAAACCAGTTCAACTTGCTGCTTGTTTAAAGAGGGAAAACACTAATACTGTAATAGCTAAGGACAACTTTCAGCTACCCCAGATATGGGCTGGGGATGAGAAAGGACATGGCAGGAAAAAACAACAACAAAGTGGTTAAGTGCAAGTAGGAAAAGGCTCCAAAACTGCCATCCACTCAGCAGACCCTGCTAGAATCACATGCCATCAACATTCTGCTCCTGCAGGATTGTTATCTTTACTTTGTTATTCAATGAGAGATTACATATCTGGCAGCGCTCACAGGGTGAATGGAAGGATGATCTTAGTGAGCCACCCAGAGGGTGGATACATATCATAAACTAGGCTTTAACTGACGTCTATTCCAAATTAAAACCACATAATATGAAATTCTGAGCTGCACGAGCATAATACAAATTGCATGATCTTGAGTTTCACACCCCATCTCTCTACAGCCAAGCTGGACCCACAAGAACCACACATAAATGAATCAAGTTACCATGTCTACAGGCTCCATACTTTGAAAATGGTGATCTGATCAAGTGGGACTGCCAATCTACCCGCTTCTTCCTAGTTCCATTTTGGGACGGTGGGTGAGAGGGGATTCCTGCAGTAGAATGTTGCTATTGAAACTTCCCTTGCATAAATGCCATAGGAGAGAATGGGAAAACACACTTACCGTAAGAACATGCAGCCGCTGTGCAAATAAGGAGTTTTCTGCCATTTTCCTTCTGAAAGAGAAAAAGAGCCTTTGGGGATATGTCCAGAGGACACTGGTTGCCAGTATTCATCATGTCATCCTCTTTTCTTCCCCAAATCCCATCTCAGGTTCTTACATGTTCTATTCCCTGTACTCTAGTAGACCTTTCTCTCCCTCTCTTGGGCTCCCAAGAGCTCTCTTGGGCTCATTGTCTTTTAATGACTTTCAGTAGCAAGCTTACAGGTAGATTCCTCTCCACTAACTACTTCTATCACCTGAGTCATCACCGTGTTCCTTTTTCAATGGAGAAGCAGGATCGTTTATTTTATTTATTTATTTAATTTGGAAAATAAATATAGAAGGCATCCCAACACAGCTCAGCTTAAAGAGGTAAAATATAAATGTCAAATTTTAAAAAGCACATCCCCAAAGGTGTGTACTCATAGCCATGTCGTATGTGTACCACAAAGGCAGATACTAAAGGCTCCATTGGTAGGTAAAATGGTCAATCATGTGCTAAGAATGCTGCATGAAGCCCCCTTCTGCTGGTCTTCAGGCATCTCTTTTCAGACCACTATTGTCACATATAAAAACACTGCAGTGCATATTCTGCAAACATGGTAAACCTGGAATGGGAACCACACAGTTTATCCTCAGCTCAGAATGTCCTCTCCCTGAGATTGCACTGACAAATTACAGGAGTATGATTTTCAGTAATTATTCTGAAATTATCTATCTATCTATCTACCATATCTTATTTGTCTGTCTGTCTGGACTCACAACTGGCTGGCAAACCGTACTCAATGAGTAGTCCTTAATGGGTGTAAGTCTACATGGAGGGAAGTAAGCAGTGGGGTGCCACAAGGTTCCATCTTAGGCCCAGTACTCTTCAATATCTTCATTAACAACTTAGATGAGGGAATAGAAGGGGAATTTACCAAATTTGCAGATGACAGGAATAGCTAATACCCAAGAAGATAGGCTCAAGATCCAGATGGATCTTGACAGACTAGAACACTGGGCCATATCTAACAAAATGAAATTCAATGTAGAGAAAAGTAAAGTCCTACACTTAGGCAAGAAAAACCTAAAGTACACATATAGACTGGGTGAAACCAGGCTCAATAGCAGTAACTGTGAGAGGGATCTTGGAGTCTTAGTGGACAACCAGCTAAATATGAGCCAGCAGTATGCAGCAGCAGCCAAAAAAGTTAATGCAATCCTAAATTGTATTAACAGAGGGATACCATCAAGATCAAGTGAGGTACTAATACCATTCTATAAAGCCTTAGTAAGACCACACCTAGAGTACTGCATCCAGTTTGGGTCACCACATTATAAAAAAGATGTTGAGACTCTAGAAAAAGTACAGAGAAGATCAACCAGGATGATTAGGGGACTGGAGGCTAAAACATACAACGAACGGCTGCAGGAACTGGGCTTGGCTAGTCTAGTAAAGAGAAGGACCAGGGGAGACATGATAGCGGTCTTCCAATATTTGAGGGGCTGCCACAGAGAGGAAGGGGTCAAGCTATTTTCTAAAGCACCTGTAGGCCAGATAAGGAATAATAGATGGAAACTGAACAAGGAGAGATTTAACCTTGAAATAAGGAGAAACTTTCTGACAGTGAGAACAATCAACCAGTGGAACAGCTTGCCCTCGGAAGTTGTCAGAGTGCCATCACTTGAGATCTTCAAGAAGACATTGGACTGCCATTTGTCAGAAATGGTACAGGGTCTTCCGCTAGGGTGGAGGGTTGGACTAGATGACCTACATGGTCCCTTCCAACTCTGATTATCTTTTAAATCTGTCTATCCATGTACCCACCCACCTACTCACCCATCCTGTTTCTGTCCCATGTCCCATTATTTCTTTTTCATGTCAGCTTTAGCAATGCAATTCCACATTTTAGCACTACTAAAATGCTTGCTCATGGATAGATAGATGGTAAGAAGGAAGAATCTGCATTTCTACTGGTATGATCATCTGGGTTTATCTAATAGTGTTTTGCAAATGTACAAATATAGTGAAGACTGAAGCCTTGTGTGGAAAAAATGGTATTAGGGCACAGTGCCCAATTTTACAATATAGTACGAGCTATCTACCATATACATTTAGTGCAGAACTATTAGAACCAACAGTTGAAACCTGATCATGTCTGTCATGATTGGAAAGCAGATCATCACTAACTAGGCATGTAGGAGGAAATGAAGCAAGATAGCCATGGGTAGCATATATTGTTAGGTATATTTCAGCCAATTAGCTGACACAGGAAGTCTGAAAGATATTTTCAATTTCATTACAACTTTCATGTTTGCAAATCTTTCCTGTTTTAGCACCTCCTATTTAGTGTAGTAAGGAGATGGATGGATGGATGGATGGATGGATGGATGGATGGATGGACAGACAGACAGACAGACAGATAGATGAAGAGGCCTAAAGAGCCGCAGGAGCTACTGAGTCAGGAAAGCAAAGGCTCAGAATGAACAAAGACTTGCAACAAAAGTCAAAGATAATTTAAATAAAGTTTATTCCATCATATAAATAAGAAAAAATGTTGAGACTCTAGAAAAAGTATAGAGAAGAGAAACCAGGATGATTAGGGGACTGGAGACTAAAACATATGAAGAACAGTTACAGGAACTGGGCATGGCTAGTCTAGAGAAGAGAAGGACCAGGGGAGACATGATAGCAATTTGAGGGGCTGCCACAGAGAGGAAGGGGTCAGGTTATTTTCCAAAGCACCCAAAGGCCAGATAAGGAATAATCAATCAAAACTGAACAAGGAGAGATTTAACCTGGAAATTAGGAGAAACTTTCTGACAGTGAGAACAATCAACCAATGGGACAGCTTGCCTTCAGAAGTTGTGGGAGCTTCATTACTGGAAGATTTGTCAGAAATTGTGTAGGGTCTCCTGCTTGGGTGGGGGGTTGGACTAGATGACCTACAAGGTCCCTTCCAACTCTGTTAATCTGTAATCTGAGTCATGTAGGGGTGGGTAACTCAAGGTAATCATAGAATCATAGAGCTAGAAGGGATCTCAGAAATCTTCTAGCCCAGCCCTCTGCTTAAAGCAGGACTCTTATATCATCTTAGTCAAATGGAGTTACTGTAACTGAACATTTCATATGTCAGTTTTATCAACATACGATCAGTTTATCTCAGCCTCCAGATCTTTGGAACTTTCCTTCTGCCTCTGAATACTGACAGTCCTACTTCTACCACAAGTACCAGGGCAGGCTGAAGATGATGAAAATGAGGGTTGAGGCCTATGCGGCTTGCTCCAACTGCCCATCTACAAGAAAATCACAGGAGTAGCCATGTTCTCACCCACAGAAGGGAGGCTGATAGGCATAATGCAAAATGAGAGCAATCATTGATCAGTCCATGAGATTGTCCCAATGGTGCTTTTTCAAGAGGCAACTGGACTTTTGCTTTTCTTTGAAGACGTTTCGCTTCTCATCCAAGAAGCTTCAAAGAAAAACACAGCTGAAGAAGCTTCTTGGATGAGAAGAAGAAAAACAAGAAAATCCAGTTGCCTCTTGAAAAAGCCCCATTGGGACAATTATGACCTGGATGACTGAGAATCTCAATAGTCAGTCCGTGAAATTATTCATCCACCATGGATAGATAACTATGGCTATGGGGTCTAACTAGAATGGTCCAGGGAAGCCAGATCCCTGAGCGAGCCTTTTATTTCTTTCAGTCTCATAAACTGGCTTCTGCTAAATCACTAAATGCACAAACAATAAAATATGTCTGCCATAATATGGCAGGATTTTTTTTTTTTTACTAAATAGTTGCAGATGCTAACTGGTGATTGACTAAATAATTTCTGAGTACCTAATGGCAGCTTTTGTAAACTGTTAATTACTGAGAAATCCTCAATAGTTGGGAATACTTGTAATTAATTCTATTTATATGGTGAGGGAGAACCCAGAAGGCATAGATGCAGAAAATAGCTTCTCTCTCACAAGTGTATAAAAGAATTTAGAGGCGGAATCTCCAGCCATAGAGGAGAAAGCCTGAATGGCATTAAGTGACTGCGACTGAGATAATCAGGCACAGGTGTGAGTTGAGTGAATCTCTGGTACAACTACTCTCTATACACAGCCTATGTCTGTACAGACACATATTCAGAAATGTAGTTAATGTTTATAAATATAACTAAATATGGAGAAACACATGCTGTACAAGAACAAATTAACCTACCCCAAAGGGCATTTTCTATGCACTAATAAGAACATACACAAACAGGAAGAACAAGAGTCTTCGACTAAACCATCTTCCAAAGAGATGCTTCTTATGGAGACCAGAGATCTACATGCAAATATAGGCAGCTGTTGCTGATTGAACACATCTGCCCCTGGGCTTGCTCATTCTAAATCCAGGGTGTTTTTGAGGGCTCAGCCTTCAATCCTGAGAGACCTGATCCTCTGGATGTCAACCCATTGAAAAGAATGGTGAAAAACTATGGAGCCCTGTTGCTTTTTATAATATCACTATGACCCTGATTGAATGCCCATTTGTCCAACAGGCAGATTGTCTGTTTTTTGGCAGAAGGGAGATCAGCCCTTCAATGAAAGAACATTTGCCTTGCCTGCTTTAACTGACACTCATTAACCTTTCACTGGGCACTTGTGCAAGAGGCCAACTTCTGCTAAAAAGCCCTGCTCTGAAATGGCTACTTTGCCCTGTGGACTGCCTCCTCCCTCGAGGTTAATGTCCCAAACCACCCAAAGTGCTGCTTCAGAGGAAAGAGAGGCTTGTGGTTATTTCAAAGGTTATGTGGGTGAAAAGAACAGGCAATAGGAACAGAAGGTGCTTTCCGACTGCTACTGATGCCAGGCCTCCAAACTAGGATAAAAATGATTCCACCATCATCTAAGTCGGCAGCCCCAGCAACCAAGTAGTCTTGGCCCAATCCTACAAGTAATTTTGTGGTTGGCTGGTTGGTAAAAGGGCACCATCAAACCCATTATTTCCATGTGTAGGACCGTATTCTCAAACATCAATGAGGGTTATTTTCCCTGTTGGATTTTTCAGGCAGACACAAAACGTTTATCTAAGAAAGACAGTACATACATGGCGGGGAGAGGCAATTTTTAAAAATAATGTAAGAGTGGATAGTGAAAAAATACAATTCTTCATAATGGGAAAAGGATGCTTAAAGTACATCAGAATTCTTTAACATACTTCTATTACTCCTTTCACTATTTTATTAAATGATAAATGATAAGGATTTGTTTACCATTGCTTAAAGACAGGTTAATCTTATAAATCTGCACAGGGACTAGTTGCTTGGGCAAACCAGCAGTCAATAAATCCCACCAGAGTTAAACACTTTGGAGCTGAGTGAAACATTTAAAATCTTGTTTAACTCCTTAACTGAATTCAGTAGGATTCAAATGGCTAATTCCTGGCTTGATCAAGTCTTTTCTGATGTATATATATATTCATTTAGACCGCAAAAGGAGCTTAAAAGTAGTCCAAAGTGGCCCAGCAGAAATTTGAACATGATTCATGTTGATTCCTGAGCATTGCATCACGGCAGTTCTCCAAGATTCACTATTACCATCTTTCCTATAACTAAATCTGTTTCAAACATCTAAGGACAAAACTAGGGGGAGGGGGATTTCCAGACATTTTGCCAACTGATCACCTCCTTCAGCTCATCCAAAATTAATAGATCAGACTGAAATCACAACATCCCTTTCCTTACAACAATGACATTTCATCGTATGAACTTTAAACAAACATGGAGAATAGTAATTTGCTTGATTAGATTAGATAGATCAAATGACAATTTACGCCCGCATAAACAAAATAGAATTCACTTGCCTTCTGAAACCAACTAGAATCCCTCAGGCACTTTAGGAAGCTAATTTTGCAACTTCAGTGAGGCAAAAGTAGTATCCCCAACAGAAATTCACCAGCAGATCTCAAAGGATCCAGACATGGAGGAAGCTTCTGCTCTTGTAAATTAAACAGCAAAAGAAATTAAACCTGCAACTCGCTGTATGGGGCACAGAAACTGGAAGAGCAGTCACTGCAACTGACGGAGTAGTAATTATGCACTCTTGGCAAAAGGAAGTGGTCAGACACGTAGCTGCAGCTTCACAATTTTTTTTTTGAAAGCACATCTCATTTCATACACTGCAATCTCTGATCCTTCAGATTACAAAAGCATGATTTTCAGTTGATTTTGGTGGATGAACTATAGGATTATAGAAATTCTGGGAACATTCATGAGTTCCCTTAACTCCCTAACTGCAAACAATGATCATTCAAATAGAGTTTTCTATCCAGGTGACTAGGGGATACTAGTGCATTGCACACCAAAACAACTAGACACAAGGACAGTTTCCCCCCATGCCATCACCCTGCTAAACAACTAAGTCCCACAACAATGTCAAAGTACCTAGTAGGGCTGTATTACTATTATCCTTTCCACCTTCCCTATTACCTGCTTCCTTATCTTCTTATGACTATAACTTTGTATCTTATGATTTATATTAATTGTGTTACTTGGTATCCTAGTGTGATTTATGTTGATTGCTTATTTAGTATTCTATGACTATCACTGAGTGTTGTATTTTATGATTTATGATGAATGTATTTTATGATTATGATCATGATTTATTAGTTGTTTCTTGTATGTACACTGAGAGCTTATGCACCAGAGAGAAATTTCTTGTGTGCCCAATCACACTTGGCCAATTAAGAATTCTATTCTATTCTATTCTATTCTATTCTATTCTATTCTATTCTAT